ATGGTCTAATGAATTTCAACGCTACGCGTTGCTATACTTGCTGAATAGCAATGTATCGATCAGAAATTTATTCATACAACTAAACCAACGTCTCAATAATTGGAAACTTACTTCAAAGTCGAAAGGTATCGTACAATGAAACTTTACAATGCGAGTATATTTGTAAAATTATGTGCAAGAATTTCTGTTCAGAATTTCCCGTGCAGGATTGTTTGATCCTGCACGGCTGTTGACCAATCAAATTGCGTGTTTCACTGTAGTTATTATATAAATAGATATATAGGGTGTATAAAAAAAGGTAATCGAACTTCAGCCCGCTAAAAGCCCGAGGCCGATAAAAAATGTTAGTCAAAATCGCACATTTTCACCTCTGTGCCTAATTAAAACAATTAAACAATGCATAACAAAAGAATTAAAAAAACAATTAATCGCGAACGTGTCGTAGCTTAACTAAGATTTATCCTACTCAATAATAATTATTAATATGCATGTGCGTCGTTTATGGAAGTGAAATTCATCAACTTAAGTAACAAAGCAGGTTCATTTTCAATGGTTTTAGACCCAACTCTCAACGGTGAAAATATGCGATTCTGACAAACATTTTTTATTGGATTCGTATTTGCTCATTTTTTATCCATTTGGCATGAAGAAGTTATCATTCAACAGCTAAAAGCATGATCTTTCCGAATGTGAAAAATCTCGCTCATACGCAGAGTAATTCAGATAAATAGTGCGCTGAAGTTTGATTACTTTTTTTTATACACCCGCGGTAAAGCAAAGACTGTTGATTATGACCTATGTTTTATAGGATAAGCACGCATCGACCATGTGTCCGAATAACTGCTTCTTGTTGAGTTTATAAACGAAACGTAATATACCTTTTATAGCAAGCAAATATATAACAAATGCAATGCTATATATATTACTTTAAATTAATATTGCACCTCTTATTAATTTTTAGGCAACCACACAGTCGCTGTTATTAAAGGGCAAGAAAGTTATGCGCTTTTGAAGTGTTCTTAATCTGAGTTATTGAAATCAATCAACAAAATTACCAGAGTGGGAACAAGTAAAGTAGATGATCCGGATGTAATGGTGGATATGTTTCCTGGGGGTGATTATAAGGTAGCCTACAAGCTAGATAGTTAATTTTCATACATCTGTACATTAAATTCACAAATTCAGAGAATGGTAATATTGATTATTGAATTTTCAGTCTCTATTGGAAATATGTGACATGGAAGGGGCCACATCTGACCGTTCTTGAGTTTGGTGCGAACTTCACAAAAAGCAAAGGTAATTCGTTAAAATTTGGGCGGTTAAACTGACATGCGGTTAGAAATATCTCTATATAACTTCTGGTATGTCTTAAATTTCTGTCGATGTTAAGATAATTTGTAGTCAAACTTTGCATATTATACAAGCCAATGATCAGACCCACTCAATGTTCGGCCGGATTACACAGCCCCCTCTCCCTTCCCACAGCCACAATGAGGAAAAAATGTTGACGGCTATATGCCAATGTAACAAATTAAATTAAAAATAACAAATTAAATTAATGAAACCGTGCATGTATTCAACTAAGAATTTTAATATATTAAGCCAACTACGACGTCATTAATATTAATTTTTACTGAATTCAGCACGGCTCGCTGATAGCATTCTATTCAAAAGGTTACTTCGCAAGCGGGAAGTCGTTGATCAGAAATATATAAGAGGTCAAAGAGTAGGGCAATATGCATGTCGATTGACGCCATTCTTCCGAATAAGGTTTATCTGTAAATTGATATTGATGTCAAGATATGAAAAATATGTAGGTAATGCCTACCTCCGGATTAGAATGCAATAAGTCGATAAGGAATACTATTTATGGATTCGGAAACATCCGGTGACGAAAATATAGACATCATAAAGTACAGGAGAACGCATTTTAAGTTGAAGATTTCTCCGCTTAATTAGATTTTATTCCTGTTTTCTTGTTATTTTAGAAATGTTTTTGGTATCTTACAACAACAGGAATATTTTTTGCTAGTTAATACAGAAATATATTTTATAAAACTATGTATACATAGTTCAATTTTATTTATTTTTTATTTATTCATTTTGTCACACACATAAAAGATATACATTTTAACATAGAGATATAATAATAACATTAACTAGAAAATGCTGTGATAGGAGAAGAAAACAGAAACTAAATTCCAATTGATATTCGACCCCTTACAATTAATGGATAACGAGACGTACTAAGACAATTATGCACGAACATATCACAGATTACATGCAACTTAACATATGGGATACAGTACAACGAAATTTTAGAGTAAAATTATCTATATGGTGGTATGTAGGTAAACAGTTTGACTTTGTAATAAGAGTGTATAGATGGTGCTTGAAGATCTGTAGGGAATGGGCCGCTTTGATGTTCGGTGGTAGATTGTTCCAGAGGAGGACGGTGCGTTGGAAATATAGGATTGTCGGAACAATTCTTGATTATTGGAGACGATTATGTTATAGGCCTATAGTTTTTAGGGTCGAAATTGCGTGTGGAATAGGGGTTATAGTTGCAGGTGAAAGGTATTGGTTAAAGGTGACTTTAATAAAGTTGTATTTGATTTTATATAATAGTACTAGGTCATAAAGTTCACGCCTGTGTTCAAGTGGGAGAATGTTTGAGGATATTAGTCTGTCTCAGCCTAGTCCCTGGCCTTCCAAGCGCAGGCGAGTTACAGGCTGTCGTGAACTTGCGGGTTGTCAGTTTCGGAAAATATCCGAACTGGGTCGCGCTGGAAGACCTAGCAAAATTCGAATAATCAACATGGCGGTGTATTTTCGTGAATGGATTAATCTTTACTATTGTATTAAAATGTAACGAAATGCCTTTAAAACACGTATTATATTTAAATTTTGTATTTTGTCTCGTTGATAAACCTTCCAGGACACCACTGGCACTGATAATTTGTTGCCTTTTCTACAAAAAGACTGTGTTGACCGAAATGATTTGTTCAAAAATATAAATATTAACCAGCATTTCTCGACACAGCATTTAAAACCACACACTGGAAGTAATGGTAAGGTTAATGGAACAGAACATTTCACTTGCTAATGAAAGGACCGTTGCATGAATTTATTTTTAGAAAGTACATTGCAGTATCAATACAAATATATTTGTCTTTAATATTATTAATATTTATAATACCAAAGGTTTGACATATACCATGCAGATTTAAGTTTTATTAGTGAAATATATAGTGCCCGACTTTCAGTATCAAGCTAACTGAAAAGTCAAGTTGAACATGATACTCATATGCCAATTAAATTTCATTTTATATGCCCAATATATTTTGTTGACAAGTAAAATTGTCTGGCAATAAACAAAGTAAAATACCAGGATGAGAAAATGTATTGAGAAAATGAGAAAAGGTGTTTTGCCCAGAATAACTTACTTTATAATAATATGCCAGACAATTTTACTCGTCGTGGTAGGGTCTGCCTAAAACTTATGTAAGAATAAAACAATCTTATCAAAATCAATTGCAGTGGTTTTGTGTTAATTGGGGGAGGGGGGGGGGGTAGTGATAGGGGGCTTGATGACTTTATTCACTTGTGTTAGAGGCCTGACTAGAGAGAGTACCTTTTTTGTTTTTCAATATGACTTTGTGGTGTTCTGTCACTTTTTTACCAATATTATTGTTTCCTGTCATATGCTGATAAAATTAAGGCTAGCCTTTAAATTACAGATATTCATGCATTTTAATATAAGTATTACTATATGCACACATACTTATCATGCATTTCTTTGTTTACTTGCACAATAGCCATTCAATTGTCATTCACGCCAATGAAGGTCAATTTCAATGACCTTCCTTGACCCACATATCCTGACCTCAATGTTTTAATTAAAATACTACTTCCTTTCAAATCCATGATTTTCGATTCTCATATACTCTATTGCTAGTAAACTGAAAACAAATTTATTCCATATGTGATATGGGGCCATTCCCAAAATACATAATGCTTGTGGGGATAGAAGGGTGTTTGATCAGGAGCTGCAGAGTGTCACAAGGGGGGGTGGCATCACATGAGGGGAAAATTTATCCCTGTCTATAAAAAAACAAGACCTTTGTTGCAAATATGTTGCCCTTAGAAGACAAATCAATGTTTTCTATCAAAATATATTGCCTGAGTGGGAAATAACCTGAATGGAAAGGCCAAGGTTAAGGCATTGAAATAGTGTCTTGTACATATAGTACATTATTTTTTTGCATAACTTTATTGGGGTAAATAAATGTCTTGTTTACAAATCAACTGCACTAATCATCGGCATCCCCAGGGGTTGTAAAAAAATGTCCCTCCATGTAGGGAAATTGTTCGCATTTTGGCCAGGGAGCATTTGCAATTTACCTAGGGGGGGGGGCAATGGTAATTTTGAGAGGGGTCACAATTTAGGAGACTATCAAAAATTACCTGAATATTAGGCAGGGAACCTTCAACAAAAACTTTCCCTTAGTTTTCATTTTTGTTGCCATCCAAAGTTGCAAACCTTTCATATTCTAAGGATTTATGACTGAAGTTGTTATTAATAGATATGGAAGTTCAATGGTCAAGAATATTTGACATTATAATGCATGTCAGAATTTATTATTCATATTGATAAGAAACCAATACTAATTAAAGGTCAATAGATTTTTTGAAGGGGGAGTCAAGGAGTCGACAATTCACCATCTGTTGTTTACAATCATATGACGGGGGGGGGGGGCAACGAATGTGATCAACAAAAGTGGAGGGGGGGCTCCAGAAAATTTATATCTAAAAACTGTCATGGCCCTCCCCCTCCTGTAAGTAAATTATAAATGCCCCTATTAAACAGGCACAGTTTATCCCCAGGATAAACCAAAAGGATATCAACATTCAGATAATAGTGGTTATTTAATTGTTCACCTTTCTGCTATACAGTACGATTTTGTACTGTAATATGATTTTTGTCTTTAAACTTTTTACCCTGTACCCAAGGGCTTTGTCAATATTTTGTTCTGTCAACCTCGTGGGAAGCAGAGGAAAGTGAATTATAAGTGCAAGGGGCATAATATAGATATTTACACTTTCCATTAATGGCATCTTTCCAACAACAAAAATATGAACACAATACATTTAATAAACATTTAACAATTTGAATACTAACTAGTGACGACAGTTCATACAATGAGACAGTCAACTTCTGTGAAAATATTAACAACCACGCGATATTGACCAAGTTACAAGTTACACATAATTTGATTCTTTCAATTGATTTTACACGAGCGACACTGGTCGAATAGCAGCTGATACAATCACAGATCCAATTTAATAAATATATACGTGGAATATCATATACGTACATTTTGCATAAGACTTCCTTTAGAAAATTCGTCAATATATAATAATTATTATATTATTATATTTGAGGTAAAAATACCAAGTCCAAAATCACGAACAAATATACACCAAACTGTTCAGTGTTGACTCCTTGGCTTAGAACTTGCAAATCACACTTTCCCAACATTACATAAGGCAATAGCACCTGTAATTTTCCATCAAAATGCTTCTTTAAATACAATTTTTACTGTAAAGTCTATAAAATACTCACAAATTTATATTAAAAATTTAACAAAAAATTATCGAAGTAAACTAGAGCCCACTCCCAACGCGAAGGACAAATCAGGACAGTTTGCGAATTTTGCTAGGCCTTCTCGCTTCTCGCCTCTCCCCAGTATCCAAGCAATACAGCTTTATCCCGGTCAACCTGCAAACCTTATCGATTTCCCCCTAAAATAACGAGGCGGAAGCGAGAAGGCCAGGAACTAGGCTGAGTCTGTCTCAGTAAGTAACATAACAATGGGAGCGATATAACTTAATTTGCAAAGCCACTTGTGTTGATTTCGGATAACGTTATTTTGCGATTCTATATATGCTTTTTTTCGTGATTTTATTGAATAGTCTACAAAATCTACTATTAAAAGTCTAAACACGATGCGACAAACACTCACAAGAACAAATAGAACTATACTGACAAACAGAACAACAACATAAGCACATTTTGTAGAAGACCCAAACGGTCCAAACGGGCAAATTAAAACACGAACAAGACACAAAGTCCCGCGCAACGTGCTCACCGTCACAATACAACATAAAACGGACTCTACAATGTCAATGTCCAAAGACAGACAAGAAATAAACAGTACAGTATTTGAAACGAAGATACGCACATCGAGATCGATATTTCCATAAAGCGCCTTGAAGAAGAACACCAAATTTCTTATTTCTATTGCATAACACGGGGACGTATAAGTTGAGGTTTGTTAATCGCTTTCATATAAGTAATCTCTCTCCTCGCTTGCATATAATTTAATTAGAAACATAGATTATAGCCTACAATATGTTCCATGCCTAATTTTCTCGAAGGCCTAATTGTTGAAGAACTGCAGTCGTGAATACTTGCGCAGAAATGTGATCGACAGCACGATTTAACCCGAAACAACACGTAGGCTACGCGTATTTTTCTCCATGACGTAAAAGGCATCTTTCCCAAAGTGTATGCTCCTTGAGTACCCGTAATAGAAATTGTATTGCGGAGTGCTTAATGGCTTTTGATATCAACAAAGAATCTTTCTCGTTTCTTAATCAGCAGTAAATCAGCAAATATTGAATAATCTAAACGGCCAGAAGAGTATAAAAGCATTAACTTAACGACTTTCGCCTGTATATAATCCATTCAACGGGAAATTGAAAGACGCTGCATGCATCACGTTACTACCATATACAGGTTAGTTAAATGTTGCGATGTTTAGTTATTCAGGCAGTATATTAGTCTAACTCATTGCACAGCTATAACCTATATAAAGTTTGGCAAGGTTAATTTAGCACGATATTTGTTCGAACATCAATAAGTCACGACATTCCTCGATATATAATGATATTATATAGTACATGAACTGTGCATATCTCTTATAGCAAGGCCTATATAGTGTAGCTATGTAAAAAAGTATATATTTTTCGGTCGGTAGTAAACATTGCGTATATATATTTCTAGAATTGTTCTATCCAAGGAAAACATTGGAATCACGAGAGATTAGAGAACCATTTGCAATTATTTGCTTCTTCAATAACGACAACTTTACCCCCAATACTTAATTATGTATTTGCATAGCTATATCAATTCCTGTACGAACGTTAATTATCATATTTCTTCACAAAACCTTAAAAAAATGTAGCAGAATTTGATGGAACTTAACAAGTTCGTTTTTCGAGGTTGACTTGAATAGACACAATATATCTGATCAAGTTTTCACAGTCTTAAAACTGCTACAATTGGTAAATAAAAGCCACAATAAATGAAATGTACTAAAAAGTTATTTAATTTAAAAAAGAGTTGTTAAAAGCGGTGTTATTGAGGGTTTACTTCATCATGCATCATATACTGTAGTTTCTATAGAAAGTTGGTTATTTTATGCACTCCGTATTCGGAATAACTGCATGTTGTTCTATATTTGACTTCATCTTACCCCTCGCAATATTGTTGACATTATTTACAATATCTATAATCATCTATAATAACATCAATACTCTAACTTGTGCATTTCCAATCGGACTAGCTATGTGCATATTTGTTTCCATCTTGCAACGTGATTAGGTTCTGAAAGTTCTTCTTTCGTGCATGGCTTGTTAAGTTGTGTATAATTGTTGCGCCAAATTAGATTTCCTTCAATTCGTTAGAAAGAATTATATATATATATATATATATATATATATATATATATATATATATATATATATATATATAATATTTATTATTATTTTTTATATTTTTAGATATCTACCTTATATTCCTTGGACAGTTGTAATTATTCGGCTGTATAATCACACCAGTAATAACATAAATAATGCCAACAGATAACAATAGTACATACGAAGAAGGCTTCGCTGATCCAGCTGCAAAAGCGAGATTTCCTGTAATTGTTACGTTGTACATACCAGCGTTCCTAGTCTCTGAAATTGGCAACGGATTTCTTGTGTACACACTAGCCTATATCAAACGTCGTCAACGTGCGGCTATCGATAGTTACATATTAAACCTTGCTATTTCCGATTTTTTATTGACAACAATGACATTGTTCAATGCAATAGAATACGTAAGAAATGAATGGGTGTTAGGCGAAGCAATGTGTAAAATTCATGGCCAATTGTTGGAAGTATGCTACACTGTGGAAATTTTGACTCTTTTAGCTGTCAGCTATAAACGTAGGAAGGCAGTGGACAATCCTTTTCAGGTATTCGATGCAAGAAAGGCATTACATCGAAATATAGCTTTATTATGGTTAGCTGCATTTGTCCTAACTTCCCCGTTGTCATATGCCTACACGATCGCGCAAAGAAACAGAAAATTTCATTGCAGCAATACGAATTTTGACAAGATGTCACGATCCATATATTATCTTCTTCAAAGCGTGATCCTATTCTTCGTTCCTGTCACGATCATGATAGCGTCCCAACGGAAAATAACGAAAGGTTTACGACAGCATTGCCAGATTTACAGCGCAGCAATGGACTGCGAAAATGCTCATTGGAAAAAAGTGATGGCTCGCGAAAGGAGAGTTAGCAAGTTTCTAACTTGCATTTGGGTTGTTTTCGTCTGCTGCTTTACACTTAACATCACTCTGCGTACAATAGATCATTTCATATACATAAGAAGAAACGAAAAATGGAACCAAATCTGGCACCTAAGTCAATTCTTAGTGCTACTAAATTCAGCCATTAATCCGTTCTTGTACTATCGGACAACAAACAGAGACGGTGCTAATGTTAATCGTATCGTTAAATTATTTTGTTGCATTCGAAAAAGAAACAAGCGCGAGGTTGCATGTACACCAGTTCCAAAGAAAGTCGTCCAATGAATAGTGCGATTTGGCTTTTTTTTCCAAAAACCATACAAACATACCACATAACTGTGTTGGCATACACGAGTTTGCTATTACCAAGTCCTACACTCTCTTTAGAGAAAATTACGATAATCGCCGAAATTATAACATATATGGAAACGGGCATGCTAGGGTGGTAATTATGCCAAACTACCCAGAAGGGAGGGGTAGAGGAGGGGGATGAGGGGGGGGGGGGGAAGTCATAGAAATCAAATTATTAGTCAAATTCTCAAATTAAAGACAAGTGCATTATGCGATGTCACCGCCAACATCGAAATAGGACTGGAGTGCAGATAAACCAACTATTCTGAAAAAAACATATCCACAAAAAACTTGAGATAACAATTAAAGAAAGATGCTGTAAAATCCGCAATGTAAACAGAGGCTTTGTTTAAATTTTGAACTCAGTGCTACAGTGATTAAATAGGATTAGATATATATTTTACTGAATTTTGACACTCCTCGCAGGTTCGCTATGATTGTAAACGAATACACACTAGAGATTTAATTCAAGAAAGTTCGGAAGGTGCGAAATATTAATAATATTCCAACGATCGGGTCCAGACAATTGGAATATAGGTCTGCGCAGAACGACCTTCAAAGCATTTTTAAGATCTATTAGTTTATTAAAGACGAAAGCGATACCGACAGATTCACCGTCAAAAGATGTGTACTATTTCAATGTTTTTGCTTCTACTCTGTAAAAACTGATTGGTCGACATGACCAAAAAAAATGGTCACCTGGAAGCATCTGAGACAACCAATTAAAAATGGTCGTTTTAACCAATAAAATTAACCGTTAATTAATTGGTCATTTCAACCAATAATAATTGGTTAATATAACCAAATATTTTTGGTTGTTTTGACCAATTAATAAAATGGTAAATTTTATTGATTAAAACGACCATTCTTAATCGGTTCTCTAAGATGCATCCAGGTGACCAATTTTTTTTTGGTCATTTCGACCAATTTTTTATTGTTATTTTGACTAATCAGTTGTCACAACCTATACACTGCATTAAAATGAAGAACATATGTGAGCCATACATCACTGAACATATATACATGGAATTTAATAAAAAATATATAAATATAATATAATCAGACAATTAAATAAGCTAGAGCTACCGGTACCTGTATATAATGCATGCAATCATTGGGAAATTGTAGACAAAATGACTCCTACATATTGGAGTAAGAAAAGGCCTTAACTAACCTTTGAAATCAATGTGTTTCTTAGAACTATGTGGGAGCAATTACGAAGAAATACAATTACTTTGCCAAGTGGTTATATTACTACCTAAAAAACAGGCAGAAACTCAACGTTTCGAGCGAAGGACTTTCGCCCAAAACGTTGAGTTCTGCTTGTTTTTTCAGGTAGTAATATAACCACTCAGCACTGACAGCAGTTTCTCATTGGTGCTACCAACACATGGTACTGGTACAGACAATTTTAATATAATCAGAAGCCTGCCAGCATGAATTGAACCTGCAGCCCTGCAATTCTACTTTTGCCAAGATGTAACCATAACTTCCTGTATATATACCATGGTGGTGTCATTGGTAGTATATTAAATAAACTGGGATGACACTAGTATTTTATACATGAACTTTTGGTTAGCTTGATGGACTCTCGGGGCTTGAACTCTCAGGGCTTGATGGACTCTTGGCTGTTCGGGAACAGTTCAGAATCACAGGGGAGCAGGACTTCCATTCCCGCCATAGTACATATTACATATATTAGTTATTGTTCAAAATTTCCATCTACAGGAATTAGTCTTTAACCCACTGAGTGGCAGCACTCTCTCCTTCATGAGTAAAATTATCTGGAATTAGACAGAAAAAAATAATAAGATAGAGCAAATTGCCACATAAAAGGTTAACATTCTCTTCAATGTAGAATATTTACAAGTATAATATATCCGTACTGCACGTAGTGTCACTGCTCAATCAAGCATGTCATACAAGTCCATTAGTTTAAAGTTAAAAGTACAAGCTTTAGACCACAATTCAGTACCTTCCTTCCTTCCTTGTGTGGTTTGTTAATCCATAAACATACTCTCAGGCAAAAGAATAACATTTTCCAAATAGACCATGAAGTACTTAGAATGCCATTAATGATTATATATATTGCCACTAGTTTAGAGAAATCGCCTTCTCCTAGGAAGCTTTTATTAATAACTTTTCATTCAGCATTAGGATATATAACGAATCCATATTAAATAAAATTTCTATTAAGAAAAATGTATAAATTAAGGTTGATATATAATGGTAACAAATTATTGATTCATTGACAATGAATTTTCTAGTGGTTAGTTATAAATATACAAAGCAAGAAATACAAAATTCAAATGCTTTTACATGTTTAATGTAAGCATGCAATTGAAGTAACATATAAATCTTGGAATACAACTATTCTGGTAAAGGGTGTTTAAGATACTGGTGCATAACAACTGTTTTTTCCAATATTCCTAATTAAAAATATCTATATAATCCAGCCAGGTACGTAGATGTAGTGGCTGTTTATATGAGGTGATGGTGGCACCTGTGTACCTGAGCTGGCCCAGTTTTGGTGAGATCGTCACTTTGTTATTATTTTCTATTTCAGCTTGTGTTTTACTTTATAATATAGAACTGAGCTGGTCCTTTTTGGGAATATAGGGGCTTTGGTGGCGAAGTAGTTAGTGCACTTGCCTTTCACCTCTATATAAGGCTGCAAGTTCAAGCCTCAGTGAGAACTTTTTCAATGCGACTCAAACCCAGTCCTCATGTGAAAACAGTAATGTCAACACTCTGCGGAAAGTCGTGCGTTTTCTCTGGGTACTTCGGTTTCCTTCTACAGGGGAAGTTGACAGGGTGGGTGAGATAAAATGGCCAACAGTAATTGGCATATGCTGTTGTGGTGACCCATTAAGCTGTACATAGAGTTTGAGCTTCCCAATTGACGAGTAAAATCGTTTGGCCAGAGGTGTAACTTAACACTTGTCCAGGGCAAGTGAATATCATGATGGGGAAGTAAACACTTTATCTTGCTTGCCCAATTGGACAAGTTGGTTTGCCACAAAAAGCTGGGCATCTTTAAGTTTATGTTTTCATTGTCGGATATAATTTGTTTTATAGTGCATGGACTTGATTCAAATTTTGCTATTCGTGGACCAAAGCTAGATCTGAGGCAGTATAACAGCCATATAGAGCTCAGTGGGAGAATGAGTTGACATGTTGTCCTCTTAATTTATACCCGCTACCTAGACACCCCAAGTGGCCATTGTCTGATGGCAAGTGGATTTTATTCAGGGCAACTTATTTTCATGACCAACTTGCTCTGAGTGCAAGTGGTCAAAAAAGTAAAGTTACAGTACATCACTGCTAGCGGTAGGCAAGTAAATAAGATAAGTGGGTCACACTGGGGCAAATTGCGTCTCAATGGGTTAACTAGAGACATTGTCAAAATGCTGTGCTGAGTGGTTATATTACTACCTTAAAAAATAAGCAGAAACTCGACGTTTCCAGCGAAGGCCCTTCGTCAAGAGTTAGTAGCCAAAGAATTTTTGGTTAACCCTTTAAGCTGCAGAGCTTCCTCACTGACGAGTAAAATCGTCTGGCGTTAAACAAGTAAAAAAATAAGTAGGGCGTACTGGGGCGCATTGCAGCTCGATAGATTACATTTCGAAACTGTCTGCAAAAGTATGATGTCGGTTTACTTTATTCGAAAATGTGCTTCTATGATACAACTCAGTCTCGGTGATTTGTTTTGGCAAGCCTGCCAATCTAAAGAGGCTCATGTAAACAGACATGCATCCAGCGAAAGCGAGCTATAGCCAGGTTAGTTACCTAGGCTGGCTTGCCTCTATATAATCAGCCCCTTACACATGTTTTAGGCTGACTGATAGGAGGGTTACCATTATGATAGCAAGTACATGCCATACATTTGGTAATATTGGGAAATGCTGTCTACATGCTATTTATCTGAATATATATACTAAAACTGTCTGTATCAGTTTGGGTAGTACCAATGTGAAAATACTGTGTGGTTATATTACTACCTTAGAAAAAAAAACAAGCAGAAACTCGACATTTCGAATGAAGGTCCTTCGTCAAAACTTTATAATATATGCATTTCAAACAAATCACACATATATTAAAGTATACATGTCAACTTAGCAAATACTTAACAGAAAATACAATATACATGTATATCACACAAATAAGCTATACGATTTTCTCAACAAAACAGATAAGTAGAGACTGTAAATCGAATATTTACAACTGAACGTCAAGATGCCTTCGGCGAAGCGACTATAAAATACTGTAAGGCCTTCGATTTAAAAATACAATTACACAGCATATCAAGTAACTATCCGCATACAAATAAGTAAATACACAAGAGACATGCCTTTCAAAACAATCACCATGTATTTTATCAGGTCTTTGGAACTTTATAATAGAAAATTTGAATAAAACTCTTTTCTCTTTGAATGTTTCATGCTCCCAGAGGATCGAACTTGGCGCTTGGTGTCAACAGATCGAATTACAACTAGTGATGGACGATACTATCGAAAAAGTATCGAAATCAACGATACTTACAAAAGTATCGATACTTTCGATACTCGAAAAAAGTATCGGTAAGTCACTTGAGGCTGCGATTTTTTTGGTCAGTATTCCTGACCAATCGCTTAATACTTAATTAAGGCAACAGACTGAAGGCAAAAAATGTTGACATGATGCTGTTCTTTAACAAGAACATGTAGCTAATTAGCAATATATTTAAAAAAAAAACAATGAACACGTCGATATTGTTTAGATTTAAAATCATAATTACAAATGTTATGTTCGATTATTTGGCAGGTACTCCAGTTAGAGTATTTTTTGACTTGTTAACATTGATGTTCTTGTTTTAAAAGTTTTTTAATAAATGGAAAAATTGAGTATCGGTATCGATTTTGGTATCGGTACCGGCCAAAATTCATGGTATAGGACTGGTATCGTATCGAACCCAAAAAAGCTGGTATCGCTCATCACTAATTACTACAACACGAATACATCAATATTCAATACAAGAATATATCAATATTCTAAGCATGTTAATTGGTTGAAACTCTAGAACTTCCACTTGTCGCAAATTATATTCGGAAGAATTCAGCAGCAGGACATCCCAAAAGTTCAAATTACAGATTTAGCAGCAAATCAAAAATAGACAAAATTGATATACTGAGAGCAATGACAATTCAAGTGTCGCTTGCGATTGAACAATAAGAAGCCGATACTGGTAATAAAGCAATCCGACTTGGCAACATTCAAGAAAAAGCGCGTCAACCAGCTAGGTTTTGTGATGATTTTACACGAACTACAGGCTTTCACTACGAATTTGTATAGCAAATATCGCCCTAATTCAAGGTTGAAGAAACTTGAATGTAGTGTTTGTCATTTCTATGAATTCCTATGTGTAATGGTCGAGTTATATTACACAGGCCGAGTAAAAACTAGGCAGAATATTGCTCGATATTTTTACTCCTACTTTAATTTACTCCGTTAGTTTGATTACGAGTTTAATTTACTCGTTATTCAGTTTAAGAGTAAAATTTACTCCTTTAAGTGGAGTTAGATTGAAACGAGTTAACTGAAATAACTCGTTGAAATTTACAGTGTACACTCAATTAAATAAATGACCAATAAAAAGTTGGTTATAAGTAATGTTTACAACATGAGCGGCCGTGTTGTATCAGATATACTATACAAACGCGAGCCGAAGGCAAGAGTTTGTATATCTGATACAACACGGACGCGAATGTTGTAAACAACTCAAAACACGACTCACCTTATGAGTTCATTGGCGAAGTAATTTTAAAAATAAACGTTGTCTAAGCGGAGAAAATCAAAGTTAAAGTTTATGCAAATCAACATGAATCTGTATCACATAAACAGATAGGACACGCTTATGATTTTTCTTTGTGTTTTCTTCATGATTATTAATGAGTTTTTTAATAACTTTTATAAATTGGTCGAAAGATGACCATTTTTTTTTTACCTTTAACCTCATAACCAAAATTTTGACTAGACAAAAATTTCATCACAGCTTGAAAGAGCATCACAAAATTAGTAATATTCCATAGTTTCGTTATAAAATGTTGTATAAAATACGGATAATATAGCCCTGCGAAGTTTGCAATTTTCAGTCATTTTAGATTACAAACGGGAACTTGATACGCAAATCGGGTGTTTGGGTATCAATTTCCCGTTTGTAATCTAAAATGACTGAAAATTGCAAACTTCGCAAGGCTATATTATCCGCATTTTACAACATTTCTCAACGAAACTTCGGAATATTACTAATTGTGTGATGCTCTTTCAAGCTGTGATGAAATTTTTGTCTAGAGCTGTCTAGATCAAAATTTTAGTTATAAGGTTAAAGGTCCAATGGTTGCAACCTAAAAAATTGGTAATTTGAACCAATCAGTTTTTACAGTGTATACGTTTAGAAAGGTAATATATGTATACCTCGTGCCCAGGCTCTTTCCACTACGTTCCTCGCTGCATCGTCGTTACCAGTGCTTCTCGGCTGCCTGCGTTGCCATAAGCCCTGGGACAAGCCAAACCGGAACACCACAAATTCTGATTTTTTTCCGGAAGTAAACGTGCTCTGCTGCAAGCTAAAAATGCTGACTATGCACTAATTTTTACTGAGGAGTGGAGACGTGTTGATGAGCAGAAAATAGTGGATTTTTCTTTTGTTTCGATGTATTTTCCACCATCAAGGGAATATATACAGACCACCTAATGGAATTATACAATGGAGCTTATATTTCGTTATATCATTAACATTCGTCAAAATACAACCATATTTCGGTCTCGTATTACATGTATCAATTTTCATGTATGATATGTAAACATGATCGAGTCGAAATGTGCATGCTCGAAGTGGCCGCTGTGATTCGAAACATTATGGGTTCTTGTACAGACGACCTGTTTCAACACGCGCTTGTAAAGTCACTTCAAAAACTGGACAAAGCCGGACTGGAAATTAAAGAGAAGTAATGCACCAGTCAATGTAAATCCCCGCCCCCCCCCCCAGCCGGGGAGGGGGAGGGGATTTAGCGGAGAAAGTGGTCAGTTTTTATGGTAAATATGTCCCCGATGATGGGGGAATTGGACAACATTTTCTCTTTCGGACAGGGGCGGATCCAGTTCTTGAGGTGACTGATGCCTAAGACCTCGCATTTGTAGGGGGGTCCGGGGGTATCCTCCCCCGGGAAATTTTGAAATCTAGGACCTCGGAAATGCGATTTGCTGCGTTATGAGCGAATTCTTTGTTCCAATTCATACATCAGTGTCACAAAATTATTTGCTGCATTTTTGGAAAGCACGTAAAAAACTTGAACCTATATCGTAAAAACAACATAATTGCTCAAAATAAGAAAACAATATTTCCTTGTACAAGTGTAATAGCAGCAGTGGTATATAAGTCTCTATTCAAGAATAGTCAGTACTGTGCTTCTTGTAGCCTTAACTTTTCTATTGAAAAATATTTCGGCAAGAAATCACGAGCAACAAAAATACACACATGCGTGTAATAAAGGTGTATACAGTGTGACCCACTAGTTGCATTGCTGGACTCAGAAGGCAGTGTTATTGTGTTGTTTTTTAACCACCTTCCATTATTAGTTTCCACTAATTTCCAATGTTCCATGAGTAAAATCTTCTAGCATTAGAATGGTGCATAAAGGTATTTTGTGCTCTAGTGGGTAAACTTATTTATATACAACTCCGTCTTATGCTGCTAATCTTACTCTGTATGGACAGTGTGGTTGACATCAGTTGGTCGATGTCATTAAATTCATTCACCCCTAGCTTCCTTTGACATGAACTGCTTGGTGAACAGCCCACACTCTGAATACTGAGAATATTGCCCTGTGACCAGGAAACCAGTAAACTAACACACAACAAGCACTGGGTTTAAAATTCTATTAGTATAACTAGGTATACACACGACCACAAATTTTAAATCAATAGAGACTGTGTGTAAATTGATTTAATGAACTATCTTAGTTGGAAATTGTTTGTCAAATGAACCTACCAAACTGTACAATCATTATGATAAACAATATACCATGACATAATTGAATCATGTCTTCTATCTGTCCCCTTTTGCCTGCCTGTCAACTAGTATTAATATAGTATTCTTTTAAGATGTTGTCAATGTAGAAAGGCTGCACAGTAGTATTGATGAATATTTTCCCTACAGGTGTTATTATATAAATACAAATCTTTGTCAAATATATCCATACACTTATGAATGGTAATCCTCAGGGTATATAGTATTGGGACAATTAGCACTACAAATATATAATTTAATTAAATATATTTTCCAAACTATCCCACTTTTGTGAGCAAATTTCATAATTATATCCTATATACACCAGTTACAGTTACATACAGTATTTATACCGTCCATCATTTTATCATTCTAAGATTAAAATCTGTCAGGAGAATGACATATACAGCTTATATCAAATTATATTTGCACAGACAAAGCATATATACTCAATTATGGTAGGCGAGCAAGCCCAGGTAATCATTTTTGTTTGCAAAATATCCAGTGAACAGTAATTGCCCAATAACTAAGGCAATGCAAAGCAATTAGACTCTTGTCATGAGGCATGCCAGCTCATTTCCATATAAAATGAAAATGAAATATAATAGGAGATACCACTGGAACTTGCAACTTGAACCAATTACCTTTCAATGTAAACTCCCCCTTAGTCTTCTAACCAATATTGCATCACTATTAGAAATCTCATTGATATTAACCTGCAATATTATTATGCACTGTAATTACATACAGAGCCTGATGCAAGTCTTGACCCACACCATAGTTTTATTTTTAGTACCGGTATCCAATCAAAATGTGCCAGGAGAAATGTCGATTTCACATAATTTAACAACAAGCTAAATATAGTTACAATCACTAAATCTATAATTATTTAATTATGTATAGCATTAATTAACCAAAATATCAAAAAAATACATTAAATATGGCATGAATACTCATGCTAGAAATAGCCAATCAGAGTTACAACCATAAAGGCAGTTGTAGGACACAAACGTTTAATAACATGTGTATCAGGTCTTCATTTTTCTTTGCCCGCCAGCTGTAAGAAAAATGAAGGTCTGGGCACAGGTTATAATCCCATGTAAACAGAGATGAAATTTGCCTCACTAAAGCAAGCTGTCAAGTTTGGTATTGGGGCTGGTTTGCCTCCAGACAAGCAAACCTCTCTTACTCGGTAAAGACTGTAAAATGTCAAACTACCTCATCCCCCCCCCCTGCTGGTATAAGCAATAGTATTTATAAATAGACACAAACTTTAATTATTATGTTAATACAAACAAATCTGCATTAACTGTGGAGCCCATTTTCCACTTTATACACTTCTTGAACTGAACAATGAACTACAATGTAAAATATAGATAAATTTCACTTACTTTAGAGCCCTCAGTTCGAGTTTCACATAGTGGGCATCTCACAGTATAAATATACTTCAATTCTTGTACTCAGATGAAAGATTAGATTCATTCCAAGCCTTGGTAATTAATTCGGTAATTTGTTCTCCGTTTTCTCCGTCAATATCGAGAGATATTTCTTCCCATTATTTGTCTCATAACCATTTGCATATAGTGTTTGCATATCCTTGCCGACATGCGATGACTTGAATCTAATGCCTCGTTACGTCACAGTAGATTTTGATTTTGCAATTTGCATCAGTGAACTGATGCGAGCGCCCGCAATCTGCATGCGATGCATCGCTCAGCGGACAAATCTACCGTGACGTAGGGCTCTAAAACAATAGATTTGATGATGTCACAGTAGATTTCACGCGGAAAAGGACTCGGGACCGATGCATTCACTGATGCAAAATGGCTGAAAATCGATGCAAACCAAATCTACCGTGACGTAGGTGATGCATCAGCTTTCTACTGTGACGTCAAAGGATGCGGTAAAAATAACATATTTTGTCGCGAAATTATTGACGCTTAAGAGGCTGTCTCCGTAAAAACCTCCAGGTCAGTATGGGGCTCAAAAATAGATTTCTTTCATACTCTAGTATTTTGAAGATCTATCCTTGGGAACAACTAAAATCGATGTCATTTTACTCAAATTTCCTTTAAATTATTTTTGGGGGCGATTGATGTTCGATCGACTGGTAACCAACTTGATACTCCGAATGAAGGCCAATATCGACATATTTTCAGCGCTATTTTTTAAATCAAATTCATACCTAAATTTCAAAATTTTTGCTCAGAAATATAGACTTATCCTTCTATTTTCGCGGGTGATATGACTTAGTTCATTATTCTTTGGTATAAAATAGAAAACAGCTCAGTTATTGACCCTCCTGAACGGATAAAGGATATCGTCTCAAAATATGTCAAATGCGAAAGCTTATTTCAAAATCGTGGCACTTGATTGGCACATGACTTTAACTTTTCTATAAACTACTAACATTAGTCAACACAAATCGCCAATAATATCTTTCTGTTCTACCATTTGACAAAAATGACAAGCGCGCAAACTTTGTAAAATTTGAAAATGTGTCGAAATCGAGCATACTTTATCGGTAAACATAATTCTTGATATTAACAAATAAAACCACCTTACACTACACTGAATGAAGCTTGATTATGTAAATATATGTATTTCATCATTATTCTTTGGTTTTGCACTCGAATGAAATTGTTTGACTGTACAGTTTGGCTTCAAGGATAGTCATTCAATGCCAGTGTGTCCTGCAGTGTGTTCGAATTCTGCGCGCCTCAATGCCATGACGGCATCAGTCCTGATTGTGACATACGAACTTCGCTCTGTTCGCTTTGTTTACCTCCTGTAAATAAAATGTCTCAAAGAAATTAGAAAATTCAGAATTAGTCATACTACAAACATAACTTTCATTGGTTTGTTTACCTTAAACTGTTATATAAAGTTTCGTTTTATAGAATGTACGAATTAATCTCGGGGAAAACTCCTAACCAAAAGAAATGTACTCGCTGAGCGTAAACATGTCAATCAAATGACGATGAAATGTTTCGTTGCTCTCTGATTTCCCTTTCTTTGTATTGAATTAAATAGTAGTCTTAGACAGTATTGCACGAGGTTTTTGTGTTTACAATAATGCTGTTCTACTTCTACTACAGCCGCAACTTGTGATCACGCAACGTTAGGTAAACCTAAACGATTTCGACAGACAGTAGATTTTATGTTGGCAGATGAGAATGACGGTAAGCAATAATGTAGAAATGTTCCCTTTCTACTTTTGAGTGTGGAAACTTCCGAGACACAGTAGACTGTTCTTCGAAGTTGCTGGCGTGTAAGAATGACATTAGTTATCACTTGCAAATTTGTCACCCTTTAAAGCTTGTCGGAAACCTTTCTAATTGTTAAGCCTGGTTCACATAAAATCGTTAAGCAGTCGCAGACATGTGCCGAATTTTTATATGAACGATCTGCGACGGATCGGGAAAGTTGAACCAAGTTCAACTTTCCCGATCCGTCGCCGATCCGGTCTCAGACAGTCTGCGCGAATCTGCATTTGTGTTCATATAAAAATTCGGCACATGTCTGCGACTGCTTAACGATTTTATGTGAACCAGGCTTTACTGAAAAAAGGAATAACATTGATTAAATAACTGAGACGTTCAAATGGGTTACAGCTGTTTGCGCTGAATTGTTTTGTATTATATCAAAATATTCGCATATTTTTATACAATAAGAAATAATATAAATTCTTGAAGCATAGCCTTGAGCAAAGGGACCAGGGTCGGCCTGAAAAAGTTGATTTTTTATACAGAACCGTGACTTACTTGAATTCTAATTTCATTGATAATTGTTTCTAAACCTAGAGACAATTCAGTTGCTAGAAAACTATACTGAGCGAAACTAACGAAATATTGACATTTGACATCACAGCGAGTATACATTTCTGATTTCTTTCGGCCAGGGCCCGGGGTTTTCCCCGAGATTTAATTCGTACATTCTAACGAAAACAGTATAAAACAGTTTAAAAACGATGAAAATTCTGTCTGTAGTATGACTAATTCTGAGTTTTCCAATTTCATTGAACATTGTTATTTGTTAAACAGGTAAAGGTATTTGTTAAAGAGGTAAACAAAGCGAACAGAGCGAAGATTGTATAGTATGTCACAATCAGGACTCGTGGCATTGAGGCGCGCAGAAGACACTGGACACACTGGCATTGAATGACTCTATCCGTGAAGCCAAACTGTACTCAAACAATTTGATTCAAGCGCCAAACCAAAGAATAATGATGAAAGACATATATTTACATAATCAAGCTTCATTCAGTGTAGTGTAAGGTGATTTTATCTGTTAATATCAAGAATTATGTTTACCGAAAAAGTATGCTCGATTTCGACACATTTTCAAATTTTACAAAGTTTGCGCGCTTGTCATTTTTGTCAAATGGTAGAACAGAAAGATATTATTGGCGATTTGTGTTGACTAATGTTAGTAGTTTATAGAAAAGTTAAAGTCATGTGCCAATCAAGTGCCACGATTTTGAAATAAGCTTTCGAAGTTGGCACATTTTGAGACGATATCCTTTATCTGTTCAGGAGGGTCAATAACTGCGCTGTTTTCTATTTTATACCAAAGAATAATGATCTAAGTCATATCACCCGCGAAAATAGAAGAATAAGTCTATATTTCTGAGCAAAAATATTGAAATTTAGGTATGAATTTGATTTAAAAAATAGCGCTGAAAATATGTCGATATTTGGCCTTCATTCGGAGTATCAAGTTGGTTACCAGTCGATCGAACATCAATCGCCCCCAAAAATAATTTAAAGGAAATTTGAGTAAAATGACATCGATTTTAGTTGTTCCCAAGGATAGATCTTCAAAATACTAGAGTATGAGAGAAATCTATTTTTGAGCCCCATATTGACCTGGAGGTTTTTACGGAGACAGCCTCTTAAGTGTCGCAAAATAAAAAGTAAATAACAAAAAGTACACATTTGCGATCGCACGTCGCATATTGGACTTATTTTGACAATTTCGACTGTTATTGAGACTATTTAAATTGGATTTCATCCTAAATAGTGTATTCCTGACATGGAGTCAAGAGTTTAAGCAAATATTTGCGGTTTGATAGCTGGAGAGATTCAAAGATATTCTATTACTGAGTGCTTGACCAAGTATAATATATGTCATATGTCTATATATTATTTCAAGCAACATGATTTCTCAATTTTGACCGATGCATTCGCATCGTTGGCATCGGTCTGGATCCGCCCCTGCTTTCGGTAGACGATGCGGGGAAGAAAGGGGGGGAATGGATTCAGTGGTTAACATATATACCCTGTGTTGCTGTTTTAGTTTTCTTTACAAGAAAATTTTAAATACAATAACATATATGAATTTGATTTTCTATTGCTGATCTATGAAATATATACAAAACTATTTTCTGTGGTTTGAGAGACATACGGGGACACTGATTAATTACGCTTTCTCCGGGGGCGGGGACAAATTATTCGCTCTTTTACTACCCCTCTAAGTCAAAATCCAGCCCCTCCCAGGTTGGGGAGGGCGGGGGTTTGCATTGACTGGTGCATAATTCGAAGCTTTATCGTCTATCGTATGTATATAAAAGGAACGAGAACGACATGTGACATGTCTAAACGGCGGTGTGTTTACTGGGTTACAACAACGGCAATAACTATGAATCACCTAACATTTCAAGAAAATATAAATTATAGATAGATGTCATGCATGACCCCATGAGTTTTGGATTTGAATTGCTAGATTTAAATCTATATTATGTATACAAAATCATGCGTGCGTAAATTTGAGCAAAAGCACAAGGTGTTTGTTTGGCCATATGCCCATCATGTAGTATGAATATTGAACACCGTGTTATATAGCACGTTTAAAACGTTATTTCTATGCCGGATAATCTTGAATCCTTCACCGATTACATGCGTGGCAAATGACGAAAAATAATTATGTAAAATAATTAACCTAATATGTCTTTGGCCATGAATATAACTCACTATGCTGCTTTATACATCTGACAGTCAAAACTATGTGCATGACTGTATGGCCCAATGTATGTTAATTGTTTCAAGGAGATTTTTGTGTTTAGATTAAAGTATAACAATATTTTCTGCATTCCAATATATTTTCTACATTCAAGTGCACATTCTGTTTCAGATAGGGGCCAAATCATTTGAGGCCAAATGGGATAGCCAATGATTGGAGGGTAGTGTTAGCAAATTTGACTCCCTTACATAATGTCAAGTTATCACTGGTCAATTTTTAAATTTCTTACAATTTCACATCAGGGAGTTCATTGCCCCCCCCCCCCAATTTTCCAGAAGTGTGACTAAGCGTTTTCTAGTATTTATCCAGGTGTCCAATCTAAACCTCCACCACAACAGGATGTATACCCGAGTGATGGTAAGGGAGGTGGGGGTTAAAATTCTGATTTATCAATATATTACTACACATTTCCACATTAAAAATATGAAAAGTTTTCCAGTTCAATATATCTGTAGCAGGAGTCTTAAACCAGAATTTCAGAATACAAAGCAACTTTTATGTCATTTTTGTAATGGTTTGTTTAAAATCAAATTTTATACAGACATTGTGGAGTGTCTCCTGACTAAAAGCCTGCATATACATATACAAATTTTTAGTTTTGCCAATAATAATAGTTTATTTTATAATTTAAATTCTTACAAGATTTGCAATAAGTCAACAGAATAAGTATTCGATTCTGAACTGTTGACAGGAAACAGTATAAATTCATGATCTCTTCCAATATGACACAAGAATTCGAGACCTCCACCTCGGGCATACCAGGGGCATTCACTTAATTTGGTGTATGAAATTCAGTGAAGTCCCCTGCAGCCAGGACAAAATGGCAAGGTAAATCTCTTCGGTCCTATCATCCCCAGGTATTCAATTGGAATTTTTACTTAAAATTTCCCAAACCATTCCTTTACTGTTCTGTAAAAGCCTTTCATAGCCGACTGTTTTATTTGAGCGTTCATATAAAAGACTAAACCTTTCCTAGCCCACTGTTTTATTTCAGCATTTATATAGCCGACTGCTTTATTTCAACATTTATATAAAAGACTAAGTGACCCTCTCCCCCATGACCTCATTCATTCCTCGACTTGGACACTGAAAGTAAGTGTCTTCCGTGTTCGCCAAGAAATGAGAAACCAGTGAATAAGAGGCGATTGTCCTTGCATTCCCCTCTGGTATGCCAAAGGTGCAGGAATTCAAAAGACTGCATTGTGCAATTGAATATGCTTATAAGCTTATTCACTGTATTTAATTAAAAGCTATTAAAATTCATCACTAATAATACAACTGAGAAAATTCAGAAATAGTAAAATACACCTATAATATTCTATATGCTAAATTTAAAATTTCCAATTGGCCATTTTAATATAGGGCCATTTTAATATAGGCGGGTAATAGGCCAAGTGACCAATACCAAAAGCATAATAATTAATAAAACACAATATATTACACCATTAAAACTTTACTATCGTAAATATATATTATTAAACATTTTACATTTACAGTGTGCTTAAAATTTTACAATTATACTTGAGCACAATGTTTTAATAATAGGCAACAACTTTATAACAAGAAAATGTTAAAATGAAGAAACTTTTTAATGGCTTCATAATTGACGTTTCTTCGATATTGTTGCTTACTTCTACTTAATAATTGTCCATTTTGTTATTTTTTTTTCTGTCTGCAAATTATCTCCATTAATCCATAGAAAACAAGCAATATACCGTATATGTTTGTATTTCTTCGTATTTCGAACGCGCACTCCTTGAAGGCAGCCATATAAACCCAATATAAACATCCACTTGATGAATAAACTCTTCATACTTCAATCTATTTCCAACGACCAATCAAATCACTTCTGCTTCGGCTTGTCCCATGGCTTACAGCAACGCAGGCAGCCGAGAAGCCCTGGGAACGAGGATGTCCTCGCTGGAGAAAAGGCTCGGGCAATAGTTGGTCACGTGGCTCCCAGATTCTGCGTGCTAATTTGAAAGTGTACTTAGGGAGGCTTGGTAGAGGAGTGCGCTTCTTGCGCTTGGAAAATTACAACTTATGTGTTATAGTTTCGGGCGATAAAATTTAAATTTGCAACAAGAAATCCTGAAATATTTTGTATTTATTTATTGTCATACGTATTCCTCTATATCATGGAGTGTTGGGTTACATTAGTCAAACGAGAAGTTGTAGCAGATTTCAGTGGACGTCGATCATAGTTTGGCAACGAAAGCACTTTATAAGCACGCTTCGCTCAGTTCGCTGTAAAAATCTTCCGGACCGAAGATTCTTTCTGTTGTCAGTATTGAGATATACCTGTCTGATACGTAAACCCAACGGATGTTCCTTATGTACAAATGTGGGATTGCTATAAAATAGCAAGATGTTGGCGGGCCAACTGTGTGTAAATTCTAAACAGTAAACAATAAACATGCTCTCCCGACTGTGAAATGCCGGTCAAATACTATGATATATAACGTTTTGGCATCGCTGACACCCTATGATCAAGAATGAAGTTGAGGTATACATGCAGTTCTCTGTTCAAACATATGGTAAAGTCATCCGAAGCAGGAAAAGGCAAAGACTCCTCGTTTGCGTGCGGAACAATTCAATGAATATTTAAATATACACAAGACAAAATATAGTGTTCTATAATATGCGTACATACAATTATTTGATATTTATTACAGTAATACACCAGGCACATTATAAATATTATATAGAGCTTTCATTGCCAGCTTGATCTATTCTACATTTTATTTTGTCATGGAATAGCATGAGATCCAGCTTGTATTTTTAAAATAACGACACGCTGCTTATCTGTGTCTGTGAGACATCAAATAATTATATAAGTATATAGCCTATCGTCTTTACATTTAGCGTCCAACTATGCCGCACTAGAGAGACACAGCTTATCAATATATCAATAGAAACTTTAGAATGCTTACAGAATCTCATAAAGTATAGAAGTAATGATATGTCTGTGCGAAGCATTATGCGTATTAGCGTATATAGATAGAGTTTATGAATTATGTACACAATTATGGTATAAAGTGTCACTACATTTTGTCAGGGATGCACATAGAAACTTTTCTAAACCTTATGTGCTATTATTCGCGAGGCAATGTAGGCTATAAAAGGCGGGGTAAAGGGCTATGTAATTACATAAAATATACTGTGCAATATTTAATTGCCTTCATATTCTCAACAACATACTCTTGCAGACAAAAAAGGAAAACCATTTGTCTTATAATCTGTACTGTAGATTCTCTAGCAATCTTTGTACCTTATATACTCTCTTGCCTACAATACGCAGCGTTTAATATAAACTATCACTATTTATTAAAAAAATCAGTAGCATAAAATGGACATCAATGTGACAATGTCATTTGAGTATCCTGCTAGTGTTCAAATGTGTAACCTTTGCCGAAAGACCTCCAAGGCACCACGACATATTAATATTATGCAGGCACTCTCGAGACCTCTGTTCAAATTAACATGTAAATCGATGCAAAGTTTACTGTATACCTTTTCCAAATAACAACAATAGAGTGACATATTATAAGATTGTAAATATGTGAACCAGAGCAGAAACAAGACAGAGCAGCCAAACGTGTGAAATAAAAGTGCCTTTAGCATATACTTATAATTTAAGAGCAAACTTAGCCAAGAAATTAAATTTAGCAAGAATTTTGCCTTATATGTGATTCTCAAAGTTGATTGTATAGAACACTTACTCCTAGCGATCGAAATGTAGAGTGCGGAAGTGGAAGCATGTAATATGATACTTTCCCCACACCTCCTTAGACAATCAATTTTCTGGTAAGCCAAGTGACCAGCGATTGCCAGGGTCTTTCCTACTAAATAAGGAAGAGCCTGGGAACGATGTTGCGCGCATATAAGACGATGATATTTGCTAGTTGGTGAAGGTTAAAGCAATTTGATACGTCGCTTAGATGACATAATACTGTATATTGAACCTCCACAAATCCATTATAGACGACATAATATATATATATTAAACCTCCAGATATCCAATATCCAAACTGATTTTAAAATTTAATACCGTCTAATTTAGTACATGAATGGTTCTGAAATCTTACTACTTTTTCCGAAATATTCGTTGTTTCCATGCCTGGATATTAGGGGAACAAACTGTTACGCAAAAATAACTTAATTAAAGCTAACGTACTCGTGAACAAGTACTTACCAACACCAAATTCAGCGTTTTTAATTTTTAAAGAATAATAGTTACAATAAAATGAGCACCTTTTAGTAGACAGAAACTAATTTTTTACACACCACCCTTTTAAACGTTAACAAAACAGCTAAATACTAGAATGAGGAAAGTAATTATGAAAATTCTAAAAATACGCCTTTTTGCAACTAATGACGTCATAATTGATTGTCTTGAAATTAGTCACCAAAGGCGAGGTGATTGACTAGTTGATTGGTAAATCGACTATTTATCAGCGGACTAGTAAATGATGCTTTTCAATAAAAACGATCGGCAAATTTGATTTCAAAATCGATGAAATATTGGAAACAATTGTCCCCAGAAAATGAAAAGGAAGCACAAAATGTTGTATTTAATTTGTAAGGTGGGGTTCCTTTTATATTTACCTGTGCCAAACATATATTCACGAACAACTTAAAATTTATTTAAAACTCATTCAAACAAATTGCAAAAACTTACCCGACTGTCGGGAAAACCTTTCCCAAAAAATATATGAAAAAAATTATATTATTAATATTATATTATTATTAGTATAGGTAATCATACGATGGCGAGTACAATTAGGGATTAATAGTACGAGGGATGTTTGGAAATTTTGCCAAAATTGGCAAACTTCCAAACATCACGAGCACTATTAATCCCTAATTGTACGAGCAACATCGCATGATTATTTGTTTATTATTAGCATGACAAAATTGGATACGTACTTCCCAATGTCAACATCGTATTCTCTCGCCAAAGCCCATCAGTCCTGCCAGACTTTCAACCAAAATTTGGTGCTTTTGTTTGTATTTTCATCTAGTTCCTCCACGACAATTTCATTTCGAAATCGTGTTTAAAATACCTTTCCGCCATTTTGTTTGTTTTGAGAAAAGCATTAATTGTACTGCAGTACAATTAATGAACTAATTGTACTCCTCTCAACCAATCAGCATCCAGTAATTCTGTCATGCTAGTAATAAATGTTATTATTAATATTGAAAGTCTACTGCGATATTAGTAACATTTATCATGTGATTAATTAAATTAATAAAAATTTCTTTAAAGATCATTTATGTTCTCTCTCTCTCTCTCTCTCTCTCTCTCTCTCTCTCTCTCTCTCTCTCTCTCTCTCTCTCTCTCTCTCTCTCTCTCTCTCTCTCTCTAATAAGCCAAGATAAATATTGCTGGGCCATCTTCACTTACAATTCGAAGAATGAATGAGGACAATGATTATAGCAAGGGCAATGAAATGAAGGTATATTATGTATGTTTGCCGATCGACAACTTATAATAATTTTGTTATTACTGTATGCACTATATGATGGAAAGTACAGTATTGAAGTGTGAAAAGTGCAGTACGTAGTGAAACCGACAAGGTGCAAAGTACAAAGTACAATACAAAGTACAGTACTGAAATGCTATTATTGAAATCGTATTCCTGTCTACTTACGCATGTTAAAAGCATAATAAGGTCTGGGTATAATCACAAAAGGCTTAATTAATACTGAGCTGAATCTAAAATTGACAAGTATTGTTCACTAGTTTTTTTATAGATTATAATTATTTAGTCATAAACAGAACCAATTCATCAGAATCCCAGTGAAAAGAGCGTGCACGTATTGTGGTTGAATCAAGAATTTTGAAGATATTTTAAAGCCTAGAGGTCAGTACTCGGCGACAGTACGGTCGCATTTCAATTACTTTCTTGCATGGAAAAAAAATTAAAGGAATCATTTCAAAATATTTTATGGTAAAATAGCGTGATGTCTAGTACTGATATGTATAAAATTTGGTTATTTTATTTGGCTCCATTGCTCGCGTTCATTAAGCCCGTAATGCTTGCAAAGTATGCTAAGTGGATAATATTGAACAAATTTTAAAAAGTTCTACTTTACGATATTACAAGAAGTGCCAGATTAATCACATGCCAGAAGCGGTATATGCCTCTTGGCCCGCGCTTTCGGGGCCCCGCCCTTACTCTTTTCGACTTTTTTTATTCCCTATTTTGGCGCATGCATTGCCAAAACAAGCATAATGCTAAGCAGATACATACTTTTGGATTATTACCTGCTTTAAAGTTTTAGTATTACCATATATCATATTAAACAATATGTATAGCTGTCACCTAGTCATATAGGATATTATTACTGCTGATTGTGCAACGCGCTGTTTGGGTTGAGTTAATAAGCTGCTGGGTTGAGTTTTTGTTCAAAGTATTGAATCATTTTAAATACGAAATCTGCTGTGTTGGTGTAATGTACTCAGGTGAATAAATATACAAATATACCCTCCATGCAAATATACAATTGTTATCGCACTACTGCAACGTAGCTTATCACACAATCCTCTTCGTAGTTCTATAGATAATAATTATTGTCGAGATGACTTTAGCTTGGACTACCTTGGTGTTGTTGTTCACATTGGCTGTTGCTGCAAAACAGGTATACCGCATTTGAAAACACTTCTTCTCAATGAAATAATGTCTACAATGAAGTAGAAGCAGTAGTTATGCAAATATCTGCATTTGTAGTTGTAGGTTTTTATCATTTGTAATTAATGCAGAACAATATTTAGAATAAATAACCGATGAGGCTTAGCTCATTTTTCTCTGCCAAGCCAAATCAAATTAAATGTTCCATTTATCTTTCTTTTAGCCGAAGTGTTCCTCGGTCTTCTATGGTATCCCGGGAATACCTGGCGTTCCTGGTTCGCCTGGAAGACATGGATTGCCTGGCGCAAAGGGAGACGTTGGTTCTACAGGTCATGTTGGGGCTAAGGGTGCTCCTGGAAAGAAAGGGGCGGCAGGATCGGACAGTGATTTGTATTCTAACTGGAAGCAATGTGCTTGGAATCGGGTAGATGGCAAAGATAACGGGTTGATACAGGTTTGTTATAACCTGAAATTAAGTACTAGAATGCATGAGTAAAGCACGAGCCCTCAACCGTTCAGTGTCGCGGGTATTACAGCGTGTATACAACTAAGATTTTTGGTATGCATGAATTATACGGTAGAGCTTATAAATATGCAAAGCTTCAGTTCTTCACAGATTTTTAAAAAAAATTTTATACCCAAATTAAAGCCTTGGGAAACTTTTGTTGATTGTTAATCTTTCCCTAATTGAAAAGTTTGTTTTCATTGATTGGGAATTTTTTCCGGCAAGGAATGTCTGTTCAACAAGAAGCACATTGATTCTTCACTGAAAGTCTTCTATGGTGGCAATTTACGTATATACAACTGTGATGCTTGTTGCAAACGTTGGTATTTCACATTCAATGGAGCCGAGTGCAAGAAACCATTAGCTATTGATGGTGTTTTTTACCTGGCAAAGGGAGCAGGACAACATGAAAATCTTCATCGCCACCGTCACATTGAGGGATACTGCAATGAAATTCCCAAAGGTATTGTCCGTGTTGGCTTCTGTGTAGGAAATTGCAAGGGTTATGGAAATGCTGATGCGGACTCTGGTTGGAACTCGATATCTCGCATTGTGATTGACGAAGTTCCATCACCACAAGCTTAACTAATCACTTTACTGAAAGAACAACAACAATGATTTTAAGATGGAATTGATTTAGAACTACTGTATGCAGAATAATTGGCTTTTGTAGCTCTCATTGGATAGTCCTTCAATTAAATTAGATAGTAATTCTCGAAGATTTATGATTGCGTGTAGTACATACCTGGATGGGAATAAATAAAAATTCTGTTTTCTTCTTTCGTACATAACCTGTGGTACGAAGTAAGGCTTTCATTGCATTGAAATTTATTTTTGCATAAAACGCTTTGGTCCATACGTGCATTTATTATTGGATCTTATCCAACTTTATTCACGGCAGACAGAACAATTTTTAACTACGGAGAAAACAGCCAGTTATAGAGAGAATAATCAAGTTACATGAAGTTAAATATAGGAGAGAATAGTTCAATTATAATATTCCCATGATTATCTAGAACCAAATATTTGAAAAAATGCGTGACAAATTTAATATACGCAGTTTGGACGTTAATTTTATTGGTATCAGTCCGAAAAAATGTGTTTTACCCATGTTTTACAGGTATTTTTATGGAAAATATTTTTAGAACCTTAATTTAACTGTTGTTTGTCTGGAAAATTTGCCAAAAGTTTTAGGAGAAAATAGGGGCCACGAATTAAACATTTGCTCCTTCCATCAAACCAAACAACACGTTGAAACTATATTGATAAACTCTTTATTAATACATGCAATTTCAAAATCGAACTATGAATAAGTATGACAAACTCTCTATTCGTGCAAACATTTCTTCGGGGTTTACACGTCTTCAACCTCGTCCCCAGGGCCATCCACGCGAAATTTGGGAGGCGCAAGATGGTCCTGGCAGCGACAAGAATTTGACACCATAAATTTTAGAGTGTTATAAATTAAGACCACTTAACCTCAACGCGTGAAATTGATTTGTTCTCCAGAATTTCCCATGCATACTTGCTGCTCCAAGACAAGGTAAATTTTATATACTTTCAATACTCGAGAAATAAGGTATTGGAAAATGTTTGAATCATGTTCATACGATCAGAAATTTAGAAGTTAGGAGTCAATTTGGCAGCCGCTTGACTAAAATTTAATTGCTTACCACATGACAACAAGATTACAAATCTTATGTAAGCTCATCCAATTTTTGTTGTAGAGACTTTGTTTACTTATCTTTCGAAAGGAAATATTCTAAGGATTTGAAAAATAAATAATGTGTCTCGTGTTAAAAGAAAAGTGAATGACCTTTGCACGTCAGTCGAAACATATTAAATATTTAGTTTAGACTGCAGGCATTAAATTTCGTCGGGAAATTTGGTGAAAACTTGCTGAAACCTTTACATACTTTATATTATCTGTATCGCTAGACAACCAGGAGTTTAAAAATGTTTGAATTAAGTATATTGGTTGCGTATTTTAAAAATGATCTAAAGTTTTGCACAGAGAATTTCAAAATATTTACATATATATGCATGGCAGCATGTCATAATATAGCGCAACAGTACTTATCTTTGGATAATTTTTAAAATATTCAACCAATATACTTCATTCAAACAATTTTAACTCCTGGGGCCGGTTGTTCAAAAGGCGATTAACTTAACCCAGGATTAGTGTTAACCCAGGGTTAAAAATCCTTTACCCTGGGTTTGGTAATCTTGGGTTAATTTGGTGTTGCTCAAACAGTGGCGGAAATTCCCTTTTTCCGGTGGGGGGGGGGCATAGCCTCCTAAATTTCCGACAAACCTTTCAAATTTCCGACATACCCTCCCCCCCCTCCATTTGCACTCGAAAAGACTGTTTTTAGCCCTCTGTTAGATCAAAATTTCCGAAAATTCGTCAATTTTCGGGGGGGGGCCACCAAGATTTCTTCCACTGTGCTCAAACGGTGATTAGTGATGCGATTAGTTAACCCAGTGTTAAAAAAATTAACCCACGGTTAAGAAAGCGCGCGTAAATCAAAATGGCGGAAACAAATTTAGGCAAAAACGAAAGAAAGCGGAAATTAAATTTTTCTACTTCCGAAATTAACTAAAATAACGGAACTAGTGGAAGAAAATCTTCAAACAATTTAGTCAAAGTTCACGAATTCAATTACAAACAAAACGAAGAACGAAATATGGGCGAAAATTGCTGGACAAGTTAATGCCGTTGGGGTGGCTCACCGCTCCGTGCAGGAAATTAAAGACAAGTGGAAAAACTTGCAGACGACGGCAAAGAAGGAGTTTGCGAGGCAAACAAGAAGCTATGCGTGTAAAAAACCAAAAGAAGCCACGGAGAAGATAATGCGACTCTTTGAAACCGCTCCGTCGTTCACCGGACTACATGGTTTTGAAGCAAGCGGTAAGTTAAAATACAATTTTTGGGCGAGTTTAATTTAGGCAGGTTTGTTTGACTTAACCAGTCTTCCAATAAACGGATAATTCATGGGTGTGACAACATGAACTTCATAACAATATGGCTGAATTTTACATGTAATATTTATACGGAAAGACGTACTACATTCATGGCAGTTTGTTGCTGAGAAAGATAAGTATTTTTGTTTCATACTTCGATAAAGGAAATCGGAAGCTCGCGGTTTCTTTTGCATGAATTATTTAGACGTCTTTAGACGAAATATAATGCGAAACATAGTCTGAATACTCAAAATTCGATAGTTCAAATTTGACAAGTTTTATTTTTATATTTCAATAGCTAAACGATTTGTTTAATAGTCTCGTAATTTCATGCACAATACTGGTAAAATCAATTTTAAACTCCATGGTAAATATTTTATTTTTTGCATAGCGAAATCAATGGTGATGCAAGGACATGGCGATGAAGTTTCCACCAGAGAAGGCAGTTTTTAAGTTGAACCAGTGCCAAAGAGAGTCCAAAGCTTTACTGCCTTTGATACACTTGACAGCGATGACGATCTAAGTATGACCCCACCACCTTCCTCTACACCAGTTACCCCTTTTATGTGAAACAGAAAAACAAACCTTTACCTACACCCCTACCTGCAGACACCCAGACCAAACCCGAGCCGACAAAGAAGAAAGCTTCACAGCAAGATGTGCTAGAAATGCAGCTGGAAGTCCTGAACATGCAAAAAGAAATGATGCTACTCAAGAATGAGAATTAAAGATTCAGGTAGCACTGTTAAAAGAACAAACAAATGGCTGTACTGTGATGTCTTCAATAGAAAATTTATAATTTTTCAATGAAAATGTACATATTTTATAACTGTGCGGCATGGCCTAGGGTGCATTTTAAGTGCAATCCTGTGGCATGTCAGGATAACTGGGAGACTTCCCGTTTACCCCCAATATTTGTATACGAAATGGGTCCCAAGAAGCTGAAGCCCTCACAATCTTTGATAGTGGACCCTTCAGTGTTATTGTTCAGTTGCCCTTTCACAGAGCCATGCCACCACTGATTTAATTAATATTTATTACGATCTTGTTGGGATGTACAGCCTGAATGGACACTGATGCCCCTTTAATAGAATTTTGCATACTTCTCTATTATGTTAACCAATAATATGAAGAACCATATATGCATAGGCGTATTGGCCAGGGGGGCATGTACCCTCCACAAATTTCTACAGTCGAGCAAAAATCAATGCGAGATTTGGGCAAAACATAAAAATTTCGAAAAAAGGAGATGTTAAGGGAAATTTTTGTCATGTCCAGCAAAATGTTTGTATGTTTGCTGGCAAGTTTTTTGTATGTTCGTAAAAATTTTTTTTGGTCTGTTTCGAAAAAAAAATTTTGGTGACACCCCCCCCCCCCCCCCGGCTCGCCAACATTTTGGGGGAGAAATATTTATGTTAAGTTTGCATGTTTAGGCAAACTATATTGAGACCCCCCCCCAAAAAAAATACGACTAGGCCCATACGCCCATGCATATATGATTGGTCCAACACAATTTAGAAATATGCTAAATTTTATTAAAATTAAAGGGCCTCTAGATTACTATAAAATATGGTGAATTAAAACAATGTTACCCATATTTCCTAATTCTATACCCATTCTGTGATAATTTGCTAATTATTTGACAGTCATTGATGTACTGTTTAGTAAACTACTGTAAATTGTTGTGTCGCATATAATATATGCTATTTTAACTAAAAAAGGTTGTTTGTAATATGTGCCCTGATTTGCCTTCCTGTGTCATGACCAACATGTAGTTCAAACTCAGGCTCCTGTGGATCAATATCCTCATCTTCTTCTGGTTCATTGAACATTATTGCAATATTCTGCAGGATCGCACAAGCACCAATCAACAGGCAGACTTTCTCTGGTTTAATCCTGATTTCCGAGTGTAGTAGGTGAAACCTCTTCCATCGCCCAAATACTTGCTCGATCAGCACGCGCCTTTTCCTTAATGATCGATTAAATGCCCGTTCCTTTGCTGTGGTGGGATCAAAGGAGAGTGTCATAAGTTAGGGTTTTAAGGCATAACCACTATCTCCCAATATGATATAATTCCATCTTCCAATGATGTATGGTGCTGCTCTAAATACTCCTGTATCTGGAATGTTCGGAATATATGGCTGTCATGGACACTTTCTGGCCATCGGGCAACTAGATCTATGAACATTCCTAGTTTTATTAAAAAATGAAATGTATTTTGCAATGAAATGTTTTTTCTGTCCTCCCCCTCATATGATAGTCACAAACAAGGATGAATTGTTATGACTGACTAGCTAGGTGGGTTAAAATGTTATCACTTTTAACCCAAGATTAAGACTAATCGAGCTTTGTGCAACGCAAATTAACCCATGGTTAAAAGTTAATCCAGGGTTAGGAGATTTAAACCCAGGATTAGCGCTAATCGCCTTTTGAACATTCGGCCTCTGTTTGTATAGCGATACAGATTATATAAGGCATGTAAAGGTTTGAGCAAGTTTTCACCAAATTTCACGGCGAAAATTTGATGTTTACAGTCTAATCTAAGTATTTAATTAATATGTCTTGACTGCTGTGCAAAGGTAACTCACTTTTCTTCATTTAAAAATTAATTATTTTCTATCTAAACACAAGACACATTATATATTTTGAAATCCTTGGAAGATTTTTTTTCAAAAGATAAGTAAACAAAGTCTCTACAACAAAAATTGGATGAGCTTGCATAGGTTTTGTAATCTTGTTGTCATGTTGTAAACAATTAAATTTTAGTCAAGCGACTGCCAAATTGGCTCCTAAGTTCTAAATATCTGATTTAAAAATTTTGCGATAGCGTATTTCCCGAGGATTAAAAACATTTAAAATTTGTCTTCCCTTGGAGCTCGATCAGCAAGTATGGGAAATTTTGAAGAACAAATCAATTTCGCGCATTGAAACTAAGTTCATGATCTTAATTTATGACACCCTAAAATTTATGGTGTCAAATTCCAGCTGATGCCAGGGCCATCTCGCGCCTTCCAGATTGTGTGGGGATGGCCTTGTGGACGAGGTTGACACGTCTTATAAGTAGTTCCCAAACATTATATATTCACGAAGTGTTCTTGAGATACTCGCAAACATTGTTTTAGTAGCTGAAACAAAACGAAAATTATATTGAGGACGAAGCTGTACATCAGTTAACAATCGGAATCGCTATATTAAAACATCAACTCTGGAATGTAGAATTCCTTAATTTAATTTAAATTTAAACAGTACTTTATCTCAATTACTATGATATTGACTCGACCAGCATCTAACAAGTGTATCTTAAATATGAATGATGTAGATATGAAGGTTTTGTTAAAATTTTAAACGACTGTAATTTCTATTGGAGCTACTCTTTGTGTCCATTATACAACTTCACACAATTATTTTGCTTCATTTTATTTTCTTTCATTAAGCTCATTTAAACTATTCTTACGTCTCATTACAATAAGTGTTTTGGAATGTTCGAATGCGAATCTGATTTTATGTATTCAGTGTTCCACTGATTTATACATGTTTTCGTAAGCCATTGGAAAATCGTGAATTTTTGGGACCGATTTCCAACTCTAAAAGGATTTTTCGTTTTTAACTTGAGTGTTAAGTTCCAACCTTTGTTATAAACAATCCTTTCAATAAAGTAAACAAATGTCAAAGATATTAGCCAGAGTAAATTTCAAGCAATTAATTTAGAAATCAAATCGAACAAAGTTGCAAAGGTTTTCCCAAACGCAGAGTCCCATTTCAAAAGCTTTTAAAATATCGAGTGGAGTCACATTTTACAGTTCCATCGTCAGCTGATTGCAATATACCGTATGCTACCTCAACAATAATATCTTCGCGCACCTGTAAGCTTTTAGCTCACTGCTTCGCTAAATAACTAACTCTCAATTCTCTACTTAGTTATAAAACGTCCAACCAAAATCCTTCGGTTGGATATTTAGTATTGTCTTAGTAAAGACCATATTACGCTTGTAATAGAGTCTGTGAAGTGTCATCATGACGACCCGCACGCCTATAAATTGAATTATCTTGAAGGTGTTAGTTACCACAGCATTATTAGTCGAGGTGGTAAGAGTGGTGACATGTATAATAAATTTATAGTGAAATAATTTATGCGTGCATGAAATTTAACCCCATAGATATGATGTAGCAAATAACTAACTGAGCTAACATACAAACCAGGTTGTCATCACCAATTCATAATAATGTTAGCAGACAATGCCGCGCAAAGTTCAAATTGCGCCAAACCGGTCTGAAGAAGAGTGCATTCTGCTTGACAATCGTGTGTATGGATTCAGGATGGAGATCAAGATCGAACAAACTGGCAATATTTTGATGGCTGCTTATTAAAGAATGAAGATTAAAGATTAATGCGAAGTATTTTCAATCAGTAAGGTTAGGTAATAGTCAAAAGGCTATAGCCTATAGGTATTGCAGCACGCATCAGTTATTATTTCTTTAGTATACAGTATGCTAGATACCACGGCTTTCAAGCAGGGCTATCACAACCGCGAGTTGATTGTACTATATTCGTTATTTCATATACTCATTTCTATATTTTGATACAAAGTAGCTCAAGACAAATAATATTTATTTACTATATATACCGGGTGGCGCAAAAAAAGTTCAGGCGTTTGATCTACCATAGCGAAAAAACTATAAGAGCTATATATACATCGCTCAAATAAATGTAGCTGTATTCATAAAAGGCTAACTTAAATTTTGATAGGTTATACATGAGATATCACGAAATATTGACTGAGATATCAGCGTTCAAATTAAACTTGCGTAAGCATTTTCAAAAGAATCGAAAATTAGTCTAAAATGGCCCATTAAACTAAATTTGATATCATTCTCATTAGACATTACGCTGGGCATCGCCAGATTATTTCCCGGGCGAGCTAGTGATGAGTAAACGCGGAGAAGAGCCGTACCCCTGGCTTTCAGATTTGACAATATCCAATATTTTTGTGGCTATACCTATAGAGTATAGTTGAAATATCAAATTGGGAGTATGCCACATCGACAGCGATAGATTTTGGAATAATATCTAGAATACTTTTAGTGAAAACTCTTGTGTCAGAAAGATGTCCCATCTTTTGCTGACAGGTTATAAAGATGTCCCATCTTTTCTTAACCAGTGGAAGCTTAAAAGGAGTCATATTATTCTTTACATCAGGCTAAGTTAGAGTAAGGCGATGCAGCTTGCGCTATAGGTTTTGGAATAATAACTATAGAATACTTTTAGTGAAAATTCTTGTGTCAGAAAGATGTCCCATCTTTTGCTGACAGGCTATGAAGATGTCCCATCTTTTCTTAACCAGTGGAAGCTTAAAAGGAGTCTTATATTATTCTTTACATCAGGCTAAGTTAGAGTAAGGCGATGCAGCTTGCGCTATAGGTTTTGTAATAATATCTAGAATACTTTTAGTGAAAACTCTTGTGTCAGAAAGATGTCCCATCTTTTGCTGACAGGTTATGAAGATGCCCTATCTTTTCTTAACCAGTGGAAGCTTAAAGGGAGTCTTATATTATTCTTTACATCAGGCTAAGTTACAGTAAGGCGATGCAGCTTGCCTAGGTTTTGAAATAATATCTAGAATACTTTTAGTGAAAACTCTTGTGTCAGAAAGATGTCCCATCTTTTGCTGACAGGTTATGAAGATGTCCCATCTTTTCTTAACTAGTTGAAGCTTAAAAGGAGTCTTATATTATTCTTTACATCAGGCTAAGTTAGAGTAAGGCGATGCAGCTTGCGCTATAGGTTTTGGAATAATATCTAGAATACTTTTAGTGAAAACTCTTGTGTCAGAAAGTTGTCCCATCTTTTGCTGACAGGTTATGAAGATGTCCCATCTTTTCTTAACCAGCGGAAGCTTAAAAGGAGTCTATAATATTATTCTTTACACCACGCTAAGTTAGAGTAAAGCGGCGCATGCAGCGATAGCGCTAGGTTTTGGAATAATATCCAGAATACTTTTAGTGAAAACTCTTGTGTCAGAAAGATGTCGCATCTTTTGCTGACAGGTTATGAAGATGTTCCATCTTTTCTTAACCAGTGGAAGCTTAAAAGGAGTCTTATATTATTCATTACATCAGGCTAAGTTAGAGTAAGGCGATGCAGCTTGCGCTATAGGTTTTGGAATAATAACTAGAATACTTTTAGTGAAAACTCTTGTGTCAGAAAGATGTCCCATCTTTTGCTGACAGGTTATGAAGATGTCCCATCTTTTCTTAACCAGTGGAAGCTTAAAAGGAGTCTTATATTATTCTTTACATCACGCTAAGTTAGAGTAAAACGGTGCATGGATGCATGCAGCGATAGCGCTAGGTTTGGGAATAATATCAAGAATACTTTTAGTGGAAACTCTTGTGTCAGAAAGATGTCCCATCTTTTGCTGATAGGTTATGAAGATGTCCCATCTTTTCTTAACCAGTGGAAGCTTAAAAGGAGTCTTATATTATTCTTTGCCTCACAACGCAGGCGCGGGCGTAGATTCCGTAGATTAGCTATAAGACAATGGTGTCAATGCAGCTATTGTTTTTGGAATAATATATACATTTGATATATACGTTGGTGAAAACGTTTGTACCAGATTCATGTGCGCACTAGGGCCTATAAGGAAAGGCGGTATAATTATATAACTTTATAAGTCAGTTTCTTTATTATTAGCCATAGAAAACTTACGCCTTTGCATGAAGCCGGACTTTTTATACTGCCAAGATCTAAAACGGCAAATATGTTCCGCGGTCTTGATATGGAATTATCGTGCTATTCTCTAAGATACCAAGAACGTTTTGTTTTACAACACACAAGTCTTAATATTATTTCATATTATACGCAGCCTTATTACACATTGTACGCTATATATTATAGCCTGGCCCTAGGTGACTTGTCAACAGTCAGCATTGTGACATATTTGTACACTTTTATTTTAATGCATAACAGAAAATTAACTTATTACTTGCTTGGTTTACACTGCGTCTAAGCAACTGAACCTGGATTGATGACATCTTATAGCGGTAATTAATAATGCGATTAGCGTTGCTCGCTTCCTGAAGTTGCAAACTCAGTTTGCAGATCCCGCTGTTTTTCAAAACGTGCGGGTCGTCATGTAAGGCTTCTTCAACGCAAATCAGAGTGGCACATTCTAATTGGTCACATTTAAACCAAGTAAATTTTGGTCCGTAATTAGCTCAAAAGGTAAACAAAATGTTGTACTTTGGAATTCCTCTTAAGGTAACGTGATCTTAACCAGAAACGCTCACATTTTAAATCTTCAATTGAATATCTCAGTTATCCGCCTGATATCACGAACATATTTGCATCTAAAATTAACAGTTTCGGACACTGACGAATGTAAAATTTTAAATAAATTACAGCATGTGGCAAGAGATAGATAATATCTGTTTTGAACATCAAGCTGTAGTTCGCTGTGAGTTGAATAGGGCCAATAAAAGTCAATACATAGAGTTGGACATTCACTAATCAGTATCTACAACTCAGATATAATTATATGCATGCATGCATGTGGTGTTGCCGTGTTAATTTTTCCAAATTGTATTACAAAGGGGGAAAGCCATTACACAGGTTATATCGGTCACTTTTAATCAATGAAAATATGAAAACAAACTTTTAGTCAAACTTTTAATCAAAAACAAACTATTATTCAAAATTAACACAAGCTCTCTACTCTGGATCCGGAAAGTAAATAGTGTATTGCCTATATTGAACACACAACATGAAAGGCTCGAATTTAGAGAATTTTTCAACAAATTTTTAAAGGGAGTACTTTTGTAGTTTATTTTCTTTTAGATAAAGGACAGTTCTAAACTTGCCACAGACGTAATATGCCAAAGAAGTAATTCTATTTTCAATAAGGTGTGATTGTATTTTCTTTGATATCCGGTTCATTTGCATGCATCTAGCTGATACGGCTTTTGAACGTCATTTGTATTAAATAAATTGCCACGATTATTCAAAATAATAAATCTCACAAACACAATGTTCGAATGTTCAATCTCATTTCATGATCCGAGAGTTTCATCGCCATCGCTATTTTCGGACTGACAGACATACTGTATGTGCTGTATTTTTTTTGAGTAGCCATGCAAAATATTTTTATGTTAGGAGGTTTCTAATTCTTTAGACATCATCCATGCGCATATGTCAGAAAATATTTGGAGGTTACCATGGTCAACTAAAATGGCGACCATCCCAAACAAAACTTCGACCGTTTTAATTAATACATTTTATTGTAAGTTCCACGTACATAAAAATCGTGTTATTGAATACAAAGAAATGCCCTAAAACATTTATGTAAGAGTATTTATTTATTTCGACATCATATATACTACAAATTACCTCGAATATTTCATCTTTCATTGCTCAACTGTCACTTGGCGATATATACATTTGGATGAGCATGAACATGGTCGTTTAAAATTATACCATTATATTAAAAAAATTCTGGCCGAAAATTCCTTGGCATGTTCTCAATGTTAGAAAATACAAAACAGACAATAAATATACTTCACACGCAAGCTACTGACACCACACTAGCATGTACTTCAGCTAATAATGGAGATAATTAATTTATTAAAACACCACGATCTTCGAATTTACAATTCCTTCATTTCGGATTAACGAGCACTTAATTTAAGCGAGCGACAACTACTACGTTACAGACGCGCCATGGTAAGTAATAACATAAACCATTTCAATCACTTTGGTGGACTATATTTCTGTTGTCGATGTTCATTCACGTTGCAGTTGCATTTTCCAAGCTCACTACTCAGTGACATAGAGACGAGTATAGTTTCCATTGAGATGAAAGTAGTGTTCTTTGCCAAGTCTGCTCTACTTTATTTTATTTTATTTATTTCCTTTTATTACGTCATTTGCATGCCTTGCGAAAATAACTATATTATATTGCTATTTTAAAACTATTTTATTACTATCACCCCTATTTTTATTTATTTTAATTATTGGGAGGCAACCCTATTTTAATTCTTTAATTCTTTAATTCATAATATTTCACTAAAAGAAAGAGCCATATTTTATTAATGTTTTACTTTATTTTATTCCGATTTTTATAGATAATAGAAATAAAATCGCATATTTTAATACTATTTTCCAGAGCCTCAGCGAAATAATAGGTTTAAAATAGCCTATTTAAATTCTATTTCACTTCACTAGAAAGCAGTTAGAAATTAAAATAGATATAAAATATACTATTTTTAAACTCATAAAATAAAATATGCTGTTCAAATCCTATTTTACACTTGCAAGGTAAACGCATAAATTTCAAACAGGGATAAAACATACTATTTTAATCCTATCTTTCTTTCTTAGCTTGCAAAATAACAATAAAATAGACTATTTGAAACCTATTTTGCACGTGCAGAAAGTTATATAAATTAAAATAGATATAAAATATAGTATTTTATATAGTATATTGACAAAATTACAAATTCTATTTTTGGTGTTTACATACGCCGGTCATATATTTCCGGTTTGAATCACTTGATGCGTTTTATTGTCTCTTAGCCAATCAGCATAACATCCAGATTCTGGATATTGAACATGGCTTTAGAGGCGAATTGTGTCAGGTCTTCTTTCAATACCGAGGGCGTGATACTCAGGTTAGGTCAAACTCGCTGTCGCGATAAATATCTCTGTCCTCGTCGCTCGACTCATTCATCGCCATCAGTCTCTTGAACGTCCTATACGATGGCTCAAAATGATGGACTGCTGATTTTGCTGTCTTTCCTGGTGAAGATTGGATGTCAAGTGCTTTTTACAAATCTTCACACGTTTATGTCGGGCGCAGATTGCATTCGATGTGAAACAAATGCCCGTATCCTTTAAAGTAGCGCCAGAACGCACGATTTGAGTTTGGCGACTGCACTGGATGCTTACTGCATCACATGCACTGTTTTTAAGAATCACAAGTAAAGATTTCTAGAGATTTTCAAAATTTTCAAAAAAATCTAAAAAAAGTTTAAAAGTCAGATTTTCAGAAAAGTTTAAAAAAAGTTAGATTAATTAGGGTTAGTGGTTAGGGTTGGGGTTACGGTAAGGGTTATAGTGTTAGCCATCATGTGTCGCGAATTTATCATATTGATAAATTCGGACCTGTTTAACAATTTACTCATATAGTAAATTCAAAGGTGGAGCCCATGCTGGGTAAGTGGGATCTCAATGTGTAGTTACTTTTATAGTAAAAATTATCATGCGCTTATATGGACCAGCAGGCTGGCCTGGTTGTCGTGATCTCGCTTGAAGAGGCCAGATAATTTCTCCACTATATATAAACACTTACAAGCTGGCTAGCCCGGTCGCTGGGACGAAAGTTCAAAGATACACCGCAAGCTATTATCAAAACAACAGCATTGTCCCAGCAAGCCGGAGAACATTTTCTCACTGATAAACACAAGAGAAATTCATCCCACTTACCGGGCTCTCTCGCTAAATAATATACGTTAATTGACATTCAAAAACACAATTTATTACGTTAATAGAAATGTTGCTCTTCTATGATTGCCATTCGGTCTTAAGCCCAACATCTGTATTGATCCTGTGAGCTTGAAAAGTTATACTATTTTTAAATTTTGATTTTGAAGTTTATATAATTAGTTCATTGATACCCCTGAATTATCTTCTGCATGCATGGAGCAACGCTAATATATTCGTTAGTTTAAAATATGTTTATAATTAACGTTGATAGTGTCGTGGGATATTATGTATCACTCGTGGACATCACCGATAGCGAAATAAAAAGTACGGCGTTCCCTGAAATCTTTACCAAGAAAACACATGGACAAAATTCTCCCTCTAACAAAAGATTTTTACATGAGTAATAGGAAACATTTATGTTACCTTCAATTATCTAAATCGTGCAATATATTTTGAAGGGAAACGGAAACACCCAAGTAAAAATCATAAATATAACATTATGCTTTTTTTTGGTATATTTAATTCAGGAAATATAACCAAAGTAATACATAAGCAGATTAATTTACCGAGTTATGTTATACAAGTCAATACATGCACCTTACAGTATGTGCACGGTAATTTATAACAAATTATATCTTCCTGTTTGTTCTTCAATTGTTACTATAGCAAGATAGTATACTGTATTATGGTGCTATCGAGTATAAATAAGTAAAATGCTGCTGCAATAGGGTACAATAGTACTAACACGATGGTATGCAGCTATTTCAATTAAGATTATCCCCGAACAAAGCGGAAAAAGTTGAATACGAGCGCGAAAGGTTGCTGGGAATGGCTAAAAAATTAACTGAATTTATTAGCGATTCCCAGCAGCCTTTCGCGCTCGTATTCGACTTTTTCGCTTTGCTCGGGGACAACCTTAATTGAAATAGCTGTAAACCATTATGCATGGTGCAATCGAATATATCATTGCATATCAGAAGATTGTCTGGAAACTAAACAGAAGTGTTCGTTATATTTTTTGTTTGAATGTATGTTAATTTATGCACGTACGGTCACCGTGATTGGACTCGTATAATTAATCATATAATTAAGTAATTGCCCAATAGGAATAGTTGAGATTAAACGTGCAGCCACGATTAATAATATTTAATGAAATTGAGACAAAAGATCTGTGCACGGCGAGGTACATTTCAACATCAAACAAAGGTCTTCTACCGGGTGGCCCAAAAAAAAGTACTCCGGTTTGATTCGAAATAACTTCTAAACAAGTAAAGCTTTTAAAGAGAAATAACTTGCATCAAATAGAGGAAGGACTAACTTAGATTTTGATATATTACAGTTGTATTTTACTTAAAAATTGACGGAGATATTAATGTTCAAAATCGGGAGCATATTTTGGGATGTGTCTAAAATTAGCGAAAATCGGCGTATCAAATTTTAACTCCAGCGTTTGTTTGCTTAATGACATATCAGGGTAAATTGTATTTCAGCGAATTGTCGTTAGGGTTTGTAAGGGATATGGCGTAGATTTAGACATCTTACATGTAAGTCTTAACTTATTGTTTCCTGAACTATGAACGTTCGAAATTATGTAAGTATTTAATAGGTCTTTGCAAACTTAAGGTACTGAAAGACCATGCAAGGCAGGCGCTTCAATTTTTCTTAAATAACCTATTTTTTATGTTTTTCATGGGTTCAAAACAAAGTTGATTATTTCTCGGTTAGAGCAGGATTAATATTGTTCTTTAATGGAGAAAATAATATTGCTTTTTGCAAATACACATCACAGTATCAAAGCTACTATTTTGTTACGTTTTGTTCCAAAAATGTTGGATGTCTCTGGGGAGTTGCATGCTTGTTATGTCTTTACTTATGGAGTTGTATGGTTTGATTGTGTTTCATTCTCAGTTTATTCTGAACTTGCCAAGTTTAAGAAAGGCAAAAGAGTTTGGGTGTTCTTAACAAGATTTCAGAACGTTGCAGAAGTTAGAAAATTCATTCAATGTGAAGTTAGAAAATTCACAATTCCAATGTGACAGCGTGCCCTAATTCAGAACTACGAACGATCCATGACGATCCTTCGCGATGCAGTGGTCTCATGAAATAAGGAAACGTATTCGTGCTAGAAACACACGCGGATTTCGGACGAATAAATCTTGCTTGTATTTTGTAGATAATAATACTTTGTTTCATAATAAACAATTTGTCAAGTGTCATTTATTTACAGGTAATAGTGCATGTTTCAGTCGGGTAAATCTTGATTAATATTTGATACGCTGTTTTTGGCATATTTCAGACACATCAAGAAATATGCTCCCGATTTTAAACATTAATATCTCCGTAAATTTTTAAGTAAAATACAACTGTAACATATCAAAATCTAAGTTAGTCCTTCCTCTATTTGATGCAAGTTATTTCTCTTTAAAAGCTTTACTTGTTTAGAAGTTATTTCGAATCAAACCGGAGTACTTTTTTTTGGGCCACCCGGTATTTTGTGGTTTATAGTTTTCCGGGATTGCAGACCATCATATCTTCACAGACTATGAATATCTATATAAGTTAATGGTGTTATCGAGTATATATCAAATCCCCATTCAAATAATCAATGTCTCTAAAAATCAAGCTTTAGATCTGTGTACATATCTGTATCCACACATTATTATTATCATCATTATGATCATTATTATTAAAATCATTATACTATCATTGCCAATATTCCAATACACGAGTTAAATAAGTAAGATCAGAATTTTATTCAGCAAGCAGACATTTCTTCAAAAGCTGGATTTTCAAATGCCGATGTTGTCTCAGTTGGCTTCACATTGACCACATCACTTTGGGCGTTCTTCAACTCAACGGAAGATGAGAGACGAACATCATCCATATTCTCAGTTTTTTTCTTCTCACTAGCGTCGTCATAAATAGCATTGTGGAAAGCATAACCTACAGCATCGTCACCTAAATTGTGGTGACGAATGCGAGATTCTCCTGTCATCTATACCAGTAAAAAGAAATAATAGGATAATGGAAAGGTTCTCTATATATAAGTCTTGTTTATGAAATTGCAATGATAATCTTCAAATAAATTGATGAAAATTAAAAAAAATGGTTATTTAAAAGTTTAAATATTAAACGCCTGCAACGAAAAATGGCGCAAATAATTTGAATTTCGTTATGTAAAACAGAAATATGCCCAATTACTCATTCTTGATGAGAACACAAGAAAATACAGAAAACGGGTAGATTGGACTTTATTCACTTCTCCCATAATAGTTGAAGTATATAATTAACGAAATATGAATTTAACGAATAATCTTTTCTTGAATGGGTATATGTCAAGCGTTTCGGGCATAATTATTGATCACAAAAGTTTGGTCAAAGGTGTATATGAATTACTTAGCAGATGTCTTAATTCAGCTAGTATAAATACGAGACGCAAAACTTGGAATAGCAAAGAAACATTGTAATTGATTGTCGAAGCAGGGGCGGATCTAGGGGTCGTCAAGTCAGTCGCGCGACTGAAGTAAAAATTGCCTACTTAATTAAAAAATTCGACTCCAGCTATCTATAGCGGCCAGTAGATCGAGTTATTAAAATTTTGAATCGTAGTCCAGTTATACGTTTCATGCTGCGGCAGAGCTTCGGCAAAGTAATGTTAGTCAGTCACGAACAGCGGTCTTACGCATGAATGTTGACGGATTCGGGGGTTGAATCCGGCTATCTGATTGGCTGACGCGCTCATTTCCATGGTTACAGCCATTTGCGACGGATCTGTGGGGAGGCCTGACGGATTTGCAGATTCAAGGGCTCTGTATGAGTCTTCTGATTGAACCATTTAAAAATATTCTGCACTGTCATTGGCTTATATTTTCGACGGATTCGCAGCGTGGGGTATTCGTCAACACGGCATTTGGTGTTTTATACCTCCTGAATGTTTACTATTTCGAACGTCTGGCATGTGAGAAATTTTACTATTATATTTTTACGAGCGATCTCTGCCAGCGATATCTGGAAACATTTTCGACAATATTCAGTTTGCGATTGCGGCAAACGATTTAGAATCTCTACAACGTTTGTATACGGAGCTTGAGAAGAATATCGATGCTTCACGGACAAATTCTGTGCCCGACTGTGGACGAGCTACTGAACGGCAAAGTGAGCGCCATCAACAACACAAGCAGAAGCCTCGCTAGAAATTTTGGCGCAGAGAGCTACATTCCGAAGAATGTTCGAGATAAGAAAGACAAAGCTTGCACTGCAATAAGGTAGAGAAATTTATGGTTTTATAATGATGTATCCAAAGCCGTCGGTGTTGTTAATGATTGTTTGACATATGATATTTTAATATTCGCTATGCTGTATTAGCATAATTCTCGCGTCAAGAAGCTAAAATATGTTTTATTCAATGTCCACATTGTAAGCATTTGTTGATTCTCGTGTTTATAGTGAAGTTTTATTTAAGATTTATTTATATTTATGCATCGATCACACAACATGTCGGCCTTATAGAATACTGTTTGTCCATAGCCTATCGACACGCCTTGTTAGACCGCATTGGTCTGGTGTAACATGATGATGTGAAATATTTAATAAGCTAGCTTGAAAATCTCATTGACTCGTAGCCATTCTCATGTAACTAGTTTATTAATATTTGACATAACATCTTTATATCTTGTTAATGTAATAGTGTTTGACTTAGTTAATGAATATCTGGTTGTTTTTTGGGGTCTGAGGCTACTAGCAATTATTTGTATAGTTCTGCGTTTTTGGTAACAGAACAGTATATTTCCTTAATGCATTTGCTGCCATATGATTTTACAAGTTTTACAATGATACACTTATAGGTATAGTATCAATATGACGACGATTGATTAATCCACAGGCAAACATGTTATTAAATTGCTGCTGAGTTTTAATGTACTATATCATAGTAATATATCCATAAAATTTTGTATTGGAATAGGATCAATATATCTTTGTGCATTTGTAGTTTTTCTTACAATGGATAAGAATCAAATGTTCGTTTGAGTTTATCAATTTAAATTTAATCTAAATACGTTTTTCACGCCCAGTCGAGACCACGCCCAGCGCTGACAACGCCCCGTCCGCCAAAAATTTTTGACTGAGGTACGAAAAATCCTAGATCCGCCCCTGTGTCGAAGTAAGAAATGGCTACGCCATTGTTTATTGCGTTATTTGGTCGCCGAAGAAGTTTAAGCACTTTTTCTACATGAACAGGCTAGGGAGCTGTATGAATCATAATACAAAATGCATTACTTTCTATGGCTTCTCGAAATTTGATATGAAATGCCGGCATGCAAGAACGCTAATGTGATGATGGTGTTGCAGATCCGACATGTACTCGTTACTCCAGTGGTATAAGCATTGGATTAGCAAATGAAATATCAGCTTGCCTTTCGCCGTAACTTGCCCATGCGCTGGTCCCTAAAATACCGCTGATGTACGTACACAACATGCAACACATACTAAAATACTTAATTAGCGTAACAGTAAAATATTATTTGTTATCTATACTTCTGTTTTGCTCATTGTTTCAATTCAACTTGGTTGGCAAGCGTCTTCCTTGCAAATGTTTCTAGACAATAGGGTTATACGCACCTGATTTTTTATTTTCAGATTTTCTTTGAAAGACAGTCTCCTACGTATGATTAGGATGGACACAACTAAATTGAAAGAAAGATTGGACTATTTAAGAACATGTATACGTTCGCTAATCTGGTTTATATAAATGAATACAAAGCCTGTCGAATTGTAAGCAAAACCAAACGTTTCAAAACTTCAGTCTAGTGTCTTCATCAGGGGTGATCTAAAGTTGCAATGTGGCTTATTAAATACCCAAGGGATGACGTCATCTGCCAGTAAGATGCATGTATTCCTCTGGCAAGTAGGGTCCGTCATCCCTATTCAAAGCATGATTGCTCATATTTATATGCCACGCTTCTAGGCATCGTCTTTGGCCATAGTGATTGTTTATTTCATGGCTGTTGTATATGTTTATTATTATCGTCCATATAATAGGAAATACAGTCATCATAGGGCACTTGCATATTATTTTGATCTGGTGAATAATACAAGTAGTGCATTTATAACAACACTAGACAATATTGTACTGTGTAATATTCGAATTTAGTAAAGTTGTAAAATTTTGCATTTTAAAACATCATGTAAGTGAATGAGTATATATGGCAATATTTCAACTGTTTGATGATCAGTGGCGTAGCCAGCCCGACGATTCAGTCTACAATAGTTTCCTTACAGTTTTCTTATTTCCGCTATGCAACTGTTGCCATGTTTATAAACTATCGACACAATCAATTTCTAAATAAATTAATAATGATAATGAGTTGAAATTGGCATAGCGGGACCAAATCGTGGCTGCGCCACTGTTGATGATCTAAATAAAAGTTTAATTAACACAGGTATACAAAGTACAGCATTATTTTAAACGGGAAATATTACATTTCACTCAGAGTTTATTTATTGTCGTATTCTGTGAACAGATCTGAATGATGTATAGTAAAATAG